GAGCAGAAGTGACCCAGGCCTCGCTGGCGATCCAGGTGCGGTTTGTCACATTGTGGCGGAGAAGTTCGCCGATGAGAGGACTAAGGTCCACGTCTGACGAGAAAACCACGATGATCTTGGCTGTTGACTCAACCACTGTTTGAACGATGCTCTGGATGGCCTCCGGTGAGTTCACCTAAAGTGTAGACAAAGAACTAAATTCAGGACACCACACTGATCCGGCTGAAGGTTTTGTGGTGCAGAGACTGATAATATGAAGGAATAGGTCTACCTTAGGCAGAGTTTCAGAGAAGGAAATACAGACTCCAGCTTCCTCCACCTGCTCTTTGAAGTCCTTGATGCCATATTTACCATAATCATCATCAGCAGCGATGGTGCCTACCCAGGTCCAGCCAAATTGAAGCACCAGCTGGGCCATAGCGGTGGACTGGTGCAGGTCATTAGGAATGGTTCTTATGAAGGTGGGGAACTGGAACTTATTGTTCAGTGCAGAACATGTTGAGGAGTAGCTGACCTACAGAAATGAGCAGCAACTATTTGTTATCCTTTTCTCCATTTCTCTCCTCTTTCTCTACGATTCTGACACTCATCAGTACCTGTGGAAAATGGTAGAGCCCCAGTATTCTGGCTGTGGCAATGGATAGATCAGAACCCCCGGCCCCCACTAGAGTGGCAAGAGGTGGCCCGTTACCACAGCGGTAGTTTGGTACTGCTTCATCTTGTCCCGTCAAGTAGGTCAGGGTTCCCTCCACAGCCTTAGAGATGGTGAAGCAGGAGTCATAGATAACATAACCCAGGTCAGTGTTGGGGAGCAGGTCATCCCTCTGGTTGATTTCATTGATAGCGAACAGCATGGTCTGCGTCCAGCGGAAGGTCCGAAAATTAAATCTGGAATGGTAGGAAAGTAGCACATTAATAGAGAGAGGGTCAGGCCAGGGGAACGGCAAGGTGAGTCACTACTCAGGGTCTCCAAACCAACAGTTGAACCAAGGTGGCCTAAAACTGCCACACAAATCAGGCAAGAAAAATGTTTCCACAGCTATGGAAAAAATCTACAAAGACGACACAACCAGCCGTTCCAGTGACTGTCAAACAGAAAATATTTAAATCCCAATGCTTGGACTTCTGGCTTATTATCTATCAAAGTACTAATGAGGAAATGTGGACCTAAGATGTTTTTATTACTAGTAGATTTTTTAAATATAACCCCTAAATGTTCGGGACAATCAAACAATTTTTAATTAGTCCAGTTTATTCTGAGTTTCTGAACCACAGCCAAATAATCAAACAGACTGGATTTCGATACCGGTCACTATAAGCCACCTCCTGTACATGGATGACATCAAGCTATATGCTAAGAGTATGCAAGACATCGACCCACTAATCTACACCACTAGAATCTACAGAGGGGACATTGGAATGGGATTCAGGCTGGAGAAATGTGGCTGGATGATGACCAGGACGGGGGAGGTAATCCACACAGAGTTGATCACACTCCCAGAAGAAGGAATAACAAATGTAGAAGAGAGCTACAGTACAAATGGCAACCACCAAAAAATGCCACAAGGAAAGCTGCAACAGACAAATACCTGCAACTAGTAAGGCAGGTTCTTAGAAGTCAGCTCAGTAGTAAGAACGAAGTACAGACAATCAACAGCTATGCCTTGTCAGTAATCAGATACCCCGATGGGATAATAAGTTGGCCCAAGGAAGAAATTCAGGCCACTGATGTTTAAACACAAAAGCTACTCACCACGCGATGGAGGTTCCAGCCCAACTCCAGTATCCACAGTCTAAACATTAAACACAAAGGAGGCAGCAGAGGCCTCGTGAGCGTCAGAGACACCATTGAAGATAAAACATCCAAGCTCCAAGAATACATCAAGAAGATGGCCCCAAGGGATGAAGCACTTAATGAATGTCTCATTCAGTGGAAGCTGGAAGAGAAGAAACTGGAGAAACCACCATGGGAGGAAAAAACCCTGTATGGGATTTTCGCTGTATGGCAGGGGTCTTCAACGTTTTCCAGGCCAATGACGCCAAAACTGATGGCGAGATGGGGTTCTGAGTTCAAACACCACTCCCATAGACTACTACTCTGGATCCCTGACCAAGAGACCATTAACCCACACTGCTCCCAGAGCGCTGCACAATGGCATCCCATTGCTCCCCAAGGCAATGGATTAAATGCAGAGAGTGGATTTCATTGCTCTGTGCTTGTGACAGTGTAATGACAATAAAAAGCTGGGAGAATCCATCACAGAAGGGTGTAAGATACTGACAGTAAAGGAACACATGGAATGCCATAACCAAGGGGCTGGCATAGTGTACAGAAACCTGCAACTAGTGTACAGAAACATCTGTGCAGAATACAAATTGGAAACCCCCAAGTCAAAATGGGAGCCACCTCCAAAGGCCACAGACAAAATAGCTGTGGCCAAACAAGAGGACATTGCTATCCTTGATAAGCAGCAGAGGACGACCATAGCGACTGATGTGGCCATCTCAAAACGGGGGACAGAGGAACATGAGAAATTGGTGAAATACCAAGGGCTCAGGGAAGGTCTAGAAAAAGCCTGAAAGGTGAAAGCAATACTGGGCAATACTACTCAAATTACGCAGTAAAAGCCTGTTTTTATAATAGCCTGACTAATACAGCTAATTGGCCCCAGAGGTCCCGGTGACTGTTATGTCAAGGAGTGAGATTACCTAAAGGTAGTTGATCTTTGAAATATATTAGCTTTGACTAATTCAGCTGATTGCTAAAACCTATACAGTTAATTGTAAAGAAAATTGACAATGAGAAGATTAAAAGTGGTCCTACTCACCCATCACAACCTGAGGAGACTGGTAGTTTGGAAGTGTTGCCATCGTTGGAAGCGACACGCATGTGTACAGGAAACATCCCCCCGATGACCACCCTCTTCTTCTCTACATTCTTGTAGCCGTTCAGGTTGAACTTGGCCTTCAGTTTGCAAGTGGATACGGCCCAAAGAGGTTTGTACACAAGGAAAAGGCAAAACAATCCAAGCAAGAAGCCTCTCATTTTCACACTTTGTGAATGTTGAACAGAGTCAGGAGATCTATCTCTCTCTGTCTCTCTCTCTTCACAGCAGTAAAGAAGTGAGCATCACTCTGTGACAGGTGTCTCATTTGTCCTCTGGGGAGAAGAGCAGCAAAGGTAGCCTTGCAGATTTAATGGAGTAAAACAAAAACACACCAACAGCAGATAAATGATGAGTCATTTGACTTTAGCCGTTTGGACTATAATAAAAGTACAACTTATATAATTTTTTTTTAAACTCCCACCACCATGAATCATAGAACAGCTTTTTAATCAATTGTAGATTTAAAATGTCCCAGACTTATTTTTGAACATTTCTAACTGTATCCAGGAGATTTAGCATAAATGCACATTTCAGGGTTTGATTATTTCCAAGAAACATGATACATTTTCATTTCATCCCCTAGTCCCCATCGTTTCACTGCTGTAAATATGCTTCATTATTCTGTGCAAACTGCCACAGGCGGCCCACTAATTATCAGATGCGTGTGGTGACTTGTTAGTTACATCCAATGTTACATTTAAAACTGCTCTGAGATCAGCCCAGGTCCCCAGAGTTCTGGTTGGCAGTGTGATGGACCTGTTTGCTCTTGTCTCACAGTCTGGGGAGCTACACACACCTGAACCTCCAGCAGACAAAAGCACATCGGCCGAACATGTTCAGCTATCAACAATATGGTGAAGGGTCGATAAAGGAAACATCTGACATTCTTCCTAAATGTAGAACTTTGCAAAGTTCTCAACATCTTTGGCTTCTTCAGCACCTCACTGTCCATGCCAAATTAAAACAGTGTCCATCAAATTAGCCATTAAAAAAATAGTTGTTTTCCAGATTACTTCATCAGTCCTTTAATTTGGCTGAATTTTGATCCACCGTCTTGCTTCAGTTTATTCAGGTGTGCTGGAATTTGTTTGACGGTTTGATCACAAGATTTCAGGCAGTTTGAACTTTGATTAGGCCATTGCAACACTGCTCAGTCATTTTGCTGCTGTGCTCTAAAACAATCCTGTTGATGAATATATATTTATCCAATGGACAGATGGTCACACGCCTCACTAGAACATGGTGCTATAGGAAGGAGTGTGGTTGGTTTAAGTACTATATACTAAGTGGGATCTGTGGCTGCAGAATAAGCAGAGAATCATCACTCATCCCCGTTTCGTCCAACAATATGAGATTTTTATGGTGTTTGCCCTAGTTTTTCCCCAAGAATAAATTGATATATGGCTGAGGAGGGCACATAAATTTGACCACTGTATGTTTACAAAAAGTGCAAAAGGAGAAACGTTCAAGATGTTTACAGGAGTAGGGCATCCAACAAATTACTTAGAAATGTGCCACAATTCCCACAAAGGAGATGTGGAACCAACATTTGGTCCAAGTCAGTTTAAAATCTAATGGAAGAGGATTGGGGCCACTAAAAAAAAAAAAAAAAAGTTGACAGATTTTTTTATTTTAATTTCAGTTTAATATCTGTGTGTGAGTGGGGGGGAGATCAGAATTCTGAGATTAAAGTCAGAATTCTGCCTTTTTTTTCCAAGATTAAACTGAAATAAAATTTAAAAATCAGTTAACTTTTTTTTTTTTTTTCCACCCGAATCCTCTTCCATAAAATCTAGTTTAACAAATTAGTAAATATTTGAGTTGTGACGTTAAAGAAAAAAGAAAATAGTAAACATAAAGTGCACCTGGAAGGCAACACACTGTATGCCAATGTGAAATGTGACAAAACATTTTATTTCAATTTGATAAAAAAAAATGGAAACCCGAGAAATCCTATAAATCAAAATGAGGCAAGTAAATATTTTCTAAAAGCACTAGAAATAACCAACAGCGAATGTTAAGTCTGATAAAGTACACATTAAATGCAGTTGTGATGTTAAGCCTGATAAGTGTACATCCATTTCTTGAACAAATAAAGAACAGAAACAATAATAGGAGTTTTAACATTGAGATCTTTATTAAAGCTCAGTTTTCCATTGTACAAATGTCATAATTGAAACTGCATGCAGTGGCTTGGTTTGAGGCACCTTACTAAGGAAAATGAACATTGCTGAGCAAACTTGAACAAAATCAAAGTCAGTATTGCATAACTTATTTTATTGAGATTTGGAAAAAAAAATCCACTTAAGCGTTTTTTTTAAATGGGGACTTGAGTAACATAAAGCACACGCTTAAAAAGGCAAAACAGAAGGACAATCACAAACAGCAGTTAAGGTTAGGAAAAACCAACAGAGATGAGAGGCACAGAAACAAATGGAGGAATCACATACGAGTTAAACATCTCTAACAGGAGACTACAAGCTTTTAAAAACTCAGTTAAACCTGAGCGCTGTATTCACTGAGGTCTAAATGACGAGAATGGAACCTGGAAATGATCTACTGAACGCTGTGAAAGTTAACATGTATACAACGGGTGGTAAAGTCTTTCTGAGATGGACTGCAATGAGGCAGGAGCAGAAACCAGCTCCCCTCAAACGGACCTTTAACACTACAGGACAGGGTTAAGATAAAGTGATGTCTTTGCTGATGCAGCACCGAGGGTTTATGGGTGACAAAAAGTGCAAAAGAAATGTGCCTCTGCAGAACGCAGGAGCAGCCAATCCATCAAATAACAGTAAGTGACACGATGTGGTTTAAGAGCTCTTACTACTGTACCTATAGGTTTGATATTAGTCCTTTTTGCCTTTATAATCTTTTCCATAAAAAAAGCACACACACTGCAGCATGAGGAGAACGGAACCCTCCTCTCTGGACAGAGTTCATGTCGTTTCACACCAAAGAAAGAAAAAAACTAGAACAGGCACATACATGTTACCAACCGCCTCCTTCACACGATTCATCAGTCCGAACGACCGCTGGGTGGACTGCTGTCTGAGATCGATGCACAAACAACCCAACAGCTCTTGTCCACAGATTTCACACCACAGCATATTCTACTTTTGGCAATAAAAAAAGAAAAAACAGAGAGCTTAAAAAGTGATTGGTCACTAGGCTGCCGATTAAGACAGCAAAAGTTTAACACAGTATGGAGGCTGAAGGGGAGCCAGTACAAATAGAGAGGATAGTTTTATGCTCAAAATATTCTTCACTACAAGAAACAGCAAAACAAAATAAAATCAAAGGCTGAGTTCATACCCCCTCCAACCCACTACTGCATTTTCTTTTATGACAACACTGTTTATTATATTTAATCCAGCCCATATTCAATCTTTAGGCACAACATCGAGTAAACTCAACCATCACAGCCTCTTACTGCTTGCCTTTAAAGGTTAAGCTTATAAAAAGGAAGCAGCAATTTACCTTTGTATAATAGCCGGGACATGTAGATGAATTAAAAATGACAACATATTAACCATAACTGACACTATTTAATCCATACCGCCAAACAAACAGAAATTAAGACCAGTTAGGAGTGGTGGGGAGTGCAGAACGGAGGGGCTTCGTCACAGTACGGTCTGCCTTCCATGGGAATGTTGAAGAGAAGGAGCAGGTGATAGAGGGGAGGAGGGAGGAAGGACAGAGAAATGGAGAGAGAGAGAGAGAGAGATTGGCTCTCCGCCCCCCCGTATCTGCGGAGAGTGTTTGTGCACTGCGTGTGGATGTGATATCAAGTCATGTTGTGGCTCTACTCCCACTCTGTGGTGCCGGGGGGCTTGGAAGTCAGGTCATACATCACTCTGGAGATGCCGGGGATTTTCTTGATTTCGTTTACCATCTTTAGCACCACCTAGTGGAAAAAGGAAAACATTACAACTGGAATCAGAGAACACAGTGTCATTAAATGTTTTAATCATTAAACCATCAGTGACAGTTGTTTAAAAAAAAAAATCCCAACCTATGGGTGATAAAAAATAACTAATCCCCCACCTTTTGACATCAACTAACAGATCACTCCCAGATCAGTGGAGTTTAATCTCTCAAGTCATAATGAGTCGCTATTACAACCTGATCTGCAGAGTTACTTAAAAATAGCACTTTTCTGAAGGGATGTAAGATAGGAGATCAATAGAAGCAACAAAACATTGGCTTGATTTAAAGAAATGTAACTACAGAAACCAAAAAGGTGGTGATATTCATGAGTCTGGAAGGGTTACAAGCTCTTTATGAACACTCCAGGGAACCCAATGAGAGCCATGATGCACAAAGAGGACCGCTGCTGCACAGAGAACCCCTACACACTAAAATAAAGGCTTAACCAATTAAATAAGATCAACTCTATAAACAATGCCAACAAATTGTTTTAATCAAAGAACAGAATATGGCAACACTATACCAGGCTAACTGGGTTATCATACCTCCTCTGGGATGTGGTTACCAGGCATGGCAGCGATGCCCGTCATAAAGTCGCTGGTGATGAAGGTGCGGACGACGACAGAGCGCCGACATGAGGGCTGCTTCAGCAGGGGGTCTCTGTCAAAATGGAGGGGAGTGAGGATGACTGGCATCTGGCTGATCTTCCCTGAATAACCTGAAGGGAGAACAAAGATAGTCAAAGTTAAACCCAATGTTTTCTGGTTTTATTCCAAACCCATCATCTGTCAGAATAGAAGAAGGATATTCGACTGGTGACAACAGGACGGTTGACTAATTTATTTCTGAGAGAACACAGATTATATCCATTGCATTAAAGTGCAGAAACAGGTGCAAGGTTGAAAAAAGACAGAGGTTAAAAACCGATCTGAGGCTGAAGACCACAGGGCCCAAATCAACAACTTGATTGTAAATATATCATACTAAGCTTAGCCAAATATTTAAAATATTAGAGAGAAAAATTTCAGAATTCCTTGACAACCATTAGCTCAAATATCTACAGATTTCCACACATAGTTTAGTTTAAAATGGTGATTCAAAAATCTTCAAAAGATTCCTTTTAGTTGTGGGATTACCAGAGGCTTACCAGACTCTCTGAGGATAGCGTGAGCTACAAAGTCTGCCTGTCTGAGCGTGCTCAGAACACCGGTGGTCAGGAAAGTCGGGGTAATGTCTGTTGGCGGCTCCTTCACGTGAGACCCAAATATATACACAACTCTGGAAAAAAACAGTACAGGGTTTCAAAAAGTCTTTGAAAACATTGAACTTGAAATATGTCTGATGACTGAAGAAAATACATGCATATTTTTATTTTTTTTTGATTACCTGTTAATGGTATGGCACATTCGAGGGATGAGTCTTGCCAGAAACATCAGTGATTCCCAGTGGGGAGATTCTTTACTTGTGACACCACACACATAACTGTAAGACCGGCAGTCTCCCTAAAGCAAAGAAAAAATTAACTGTTTTATAGAATAGAAAATCCCCAATTGGTAAATTTTGGTGTTTACAGCAGCAAAAGGTTATACCGTAGTAGAAGTGTTCACACATTGTGCACCTTATAATAAAAGGATTGATGAATATATGGAATTAAATTACAACGTACTTATAGAGATTCAAGATTAATTGAAAAACTTTGTTTTTTTTATTTTCAGCCCAGGTAAAGAAAGCTGCCTGTGTTTAGGAATGGTATCCTGTCTGGCCCACAGCCTGTGGTTCCAGTTAAATTTAAACCTCTGGTGTGGAACAGACAGTGAAAGGGTACACCTACAGAAAAAACATTCTGTCACTGGCTGACTAGCAAAGTTTGAAGCAATTTAAAGCCACCCATCCTCCAGATGCAGTCAGCCATTAGAAGAGGGCAGAAAAAGGAGAGAGGAATAATGCAATGAAAGAATGTGGTGGTTTCAGTGGGTGTGTCTTGTGGTTGACGGCTAAATTACACTCTGTGCCTACAGAGACAAACAGCTGGCGGCAGACACTGTGTCACTGTGACTGCTTCTCTGAAAACATGTTAACTGTCCTACATATGTGCAATAACTGACGTCTACCCAACCAAATGGCTGATATATAGTACTGTGATCTACTCATCATTTAGATGTTTAAAATGGCGACAATTATTTTACAACCAGAATATCTTAAATCACCTGATTTATCCTTAAATCCCAGGATTATTAAGAATTAGACATTTCTAATTTAAAGCTGCACTGTGCAACTTTTAGCTATTCAGGGGCTCCAGACCCACAACTTCCAGGTTTAGCTTCCCCGGAAAAGAAACAGGCAGTGCTGCATTGTCCTAAAGTCAATCTCCCTTTCTGTTATGGAATCTGTTAGCAGATTGCTTTGGACCAACAGCTGAGAAATCACGGAGCTACGTGTAAAAATAAGAGCCCATTCACCTCTAGATTAAAACTTTAATCAGAGAATCTAAAATATGTCTGATAAGGTACGTTCTTAAGTGCTGTCTTTATTGGCTAACATCAGCTTAGAAATATAAGTCAGTAACCAAAACTTAAAATCTCAAATTAAGCTAATACTTGGGTCAAAACTTACAGGTTGGCAAGAGTGGCAGGATCAGCAATCAGACCATAAAGTTAAAGGTTATCTCTTTTTTTTTTTTTAAACAATATCAGGTAGAAAATGCATTAGGGCTGCAACAACGAATCGATAAAATCGATAAAAATCGACTTTTAAAAGCGTTGGCAACGAATTTCATCATCGATTAGTTGTGTCGCGCGATTATTACGTCATCCGCCGCGCCGTCATCACTGCCTCTTGACTGAAAGAGGAAGAAAAAAAAAATACGGCAGAGCGAGTCAGCGCCGCAGGTGCAGTGTTGCCAACTCCGCGACTTTTCAGACCCCTCCAGCGACTATTTTTCAAAAAAGCGACTAGCGACAAATCTGGCGACTTTTTTCGGTGTCACTGGCGGCTTTTGGAGACTCTTACGTGAAAGCATGTATCATTCCTACTCTGCCGTGGGGCGCCTCCCCCACCCCAACCGCGTTTTCCCGCAGGAGTCCCTCTCAGTCAGAGCCTCAGCGTCCAGACTGCAAATGAAGCGCGCATGCACCGGGATTGACGGCGCAAATTGATCACAATAATTAAAGCGAAAAAAGTGATAACATGCAACTTTTTTCAAAAGAAATTAACATGGCACGGAACCACCATGTTTGTTTGGTTTTAAAGTGGGGAAACGTTACGTTAGTTTCTCAGGTAGCTCATCTGATGCTTTCCTTACCTTGTTAGTAGGTTACATACAGTGATAAGGTTGGCTACTTATTTTACTTTTAATTTCATTTGAATTAGCTTAAGCAGCGTTTACATTTACTTTATAAATAAATTAACTTGCAAATTATGAGGGCAAGGCTTTTAAAGTTTAAATCTTCTGGCAAAGATAAAGTAAAGATGATCCTGCAATTTATGGAAGTAAAGCAGAATAAAATCCAGCAAGATCAGTAATATGTCAATTAATTATATGCCACATTCCCATGTAAATATCTGTCTTTGGAGGATGTGTTTTTTAGCACCCCTAGTTCTCTATTTTGTATTCCAAATACAATTTATAATTTGAATCACAGGGCTATTTTTATCTCTATGGTTCAGTATTTTCTCAAGTAGCAACTTTAACTGCTATACTTTCCTGTCTTAAAAGGCAGAACTCTTCTAGTCTAAAAAAAACTCATTTGTTGAAATGGGGGGGCCTATTGTTTGAACCCCTTAGAGGCTTTTAAAAACAAAAATGTCTTTTTTTGCGCTTTATGAAACAAAGTACCCTATATTTTGTGGATGTACATCTACATTTCTCATGTAAGTTTGCGTAGTTTTAACACAAACATTTATTTTTCATATTGCACCAGTACAGTTAATGAGCAACCTGTACTTGTGTGCTTGTTTGTTCTGTCTATAATGTTAATTTTGCAATAAAGAGGTTAATATAAAAAATATTTTTTGTCCGATTCATCGATTAATCGAAAAAATAATCGTCCGATTCATCGATTTTTAAAATAATCGTTAGTTGCAGCCCTAAAATGCATTAGAATTATACACCTACAAGATTGATTAAAGTGCAGACTAGCGACTAATAAATAAAATTACTGAATTATTCAATCAACTAGGAGCATTATCCTAGATGTTGTGACTAACCTGGACACCAACAGTTTTAATGGGCAGCAGGAAGGCATTAAGTGAATGAAGGCTGGTGATCTTCATGAGTTTCTCCTCCTCTTCATCTGATATGCATGACTTCACTCTCTGGAGCAAGGCATGAGGCTGGCATGGAGGGAAACAAGCAGATTAAACAAGATGAAATGAAGAGACGGCAGTCAGCTTAGATGATATTTAGAAACTATTCTATCAAAAAACTTGCTTTATCCTTAATATTGTTCAAGTAAATCATTAATTTGAGCTGACTTCTGAGGGACAGAAGAAAACCTAGCTCTAAGGAAAACACACATCTATACCCTTTATTAACCCACAGTAGAATCAATAGACAACTAGACTGTTGCTCAAAAAGTTCCTCACTGACCTTTTTGACACTTGCAGAAAAATCTGTGACGATTTTGAGGATGTTGTTTGTTTCAGCAAAATCCTTACAAATATAAGGCTCCTCAGCACAAATCACTCTGATGGACAAACCAGGCCCTACAAAACGCAGAACAACCATGGTAAATTACGAACAAAAAACAAAAACTTTAAATATTCGAAAGAGGGTTCATCTTTAAGACAGATTCAAACAGTAGTTGTTTACATAACACAAAGGAGAAAATAAATCAGCATACAGTAAATGCAAGGATTAAAACAGTTTATCAGGCAGCATTGTGTTGATCAGAAAAATGCTGTCTGTATATTTACTTACCAGGAAAAGGATGCCGAGAGACGATCTCCTCTGGCAGGCCCAACTCTCTTCCCAGTGCTCTTACTTCATCTTTATGGAAATCTTTCAAAGGTTCAATTACTTTTCCCTGGATGATAAAAAAAAAAGGCTTAAGATTCTCAAAGTTCTTACATTAAAGGCAGCAGATTTGTATTGCTTATTTATACTGTGTTGATAAAGCAGGAAATTAATTATTCCAATGCTGCTTAAAACAGTTTACTTCTTTAAATCCAAGTTGTGTTCATTAGAAAACTAGGGCTCACAGCAGCTGTTCAAAGTCCGGTCAGGTTGAGAGTTTGGGAGAGAGAACGTACCTCATCTCTGAGCTTGCGGATGAGTTCGGTGTCATTGTGATGCGTTTTGATGACCTCTGCCTTTCCACTGGCAATATGAGAGGCACTCTCAATGAGATCCGGCCGCAGCGTGCCCTGCGCCAGGAAAACCTCCTCCGGGTTCAGGTTCATTTCTCCAAGAACTTCATTAGCCACCTGAGGAGTGACACAGGGCAGAATCGATGAGAAATTAAATATGTTATACAATAAAAAAACACAATTAAAAGAGAATGATCAAACAGCTGTCGCTCACTTTAACAAACGTGTCTCCAATAATCTTCCTTTTCTCCTCAGGGTTGGTGGTCATATTCAAGGTCTTGCTGATGCGTTTCCGTGGCGTCCTGTCCTCCTCAGAAATGGGAAGAGTTGTTGTCCCGTTGTAAAAAGTGTGAGCTGCATTTACCACTAAAAAATAGAAAAGTGGTGCTTAAAAACAATACAATACCAATATCATAATATCATCAGGACATCTTGTTATATCCATGTTAGACCCCACCCCCCTTTTTTTAAATAAGAGCATCCCATACGGTTTATTCTAGTTACTTGTTTCTGCTACTTTGGTTTAATTAATGAGACCTGCAAGAAATCATAAGGTTTGCTCTCTTTAGAGAAATTTATGCAAACTACTATGTTAAACTACTACTACTAAACTACTTTATGTCCATATTACTTTATTTTTTTTATTATTGCTGTTTTATAGAAATTAATGAATAAAAGTAAAATAAATTTTCTTTAATAAAAAACAAGACTAGGGTTGTCTTTCAGAACCACATTGTTGTCAAACTACTAAGTCACAGCTAAGGTAGCTCGCTATCAATGGGATGTTGTACAGAGCATATTAATTGAAAGTTGAGTGGAAGAAAAAAAAAAATCACTAGTGACAAAGATACATACAACCTTGATTTGATTGTGAAGTAAAACATGTCTGCCCTGTGAGAAAGGCCAATGCATGCCTTATAAAAAATCACAGCATCCCTTTGCTCGACAGACTAGGTTAATCCTCTGACCTAAAACCTGTAGAGAACTTAACCAACATTGTCAAAAAAGACAAAGGGAGACTCAACAAGGTAAGGGGCAGCATTAACAGAACGTGGATCTCCTCACCACAAAGTGTTCAGTAAATAACAGTTTTGAATACAATTCAAAATCCTTTTAGGCAGAAGCTATGAATGCTTCTGCAGAAACAACCTTAGAACTCGTCTCCTACCTTTGAGTTTAATACCAAGCTTGGTGAGGGCCTCCTCCACACTCTGACTCTCTCTCTTCCTCATAAAGCCGTTATCGATGTGAACAGCAATCACCTGCTCCTGATTCAGAGCTTTGTTCAGTAGAGCTGTGCAAACTGTTGAGTCAACCCCACCACTCAGTAGCACCTGTGGATACAAAGAAGACACCATAACTTTAAAAGTGTTCTATAATATTCTGTTGAATATTTACTAAAGATTGCTTCCATCTGATGGCAGGCTTAAAATCACCAAGCACACCATTCTTCTCACAAAAAAACAGGATTTATTTAAACCAAGTAAATTCAAAAGCTGTTGCATATCTTCCAACTTCTGCAGCTGAAACCATCCTCAGTTCTACAGCCATTTATTTTTCTTTGATTCATTTTCTGAAAGAAGCCATGTCACTTACCAGAACTTTCGACGTGCCCACTTTTTCTCTGATTTCATTGATGCAAACCTCCTCCCGGTTGTGCACGGTGAAGTTACTCGTACAACCCGCGATCTCAAACAGGAAGTTCCGCAGCATCTCCATCCCTCGCTCCGTCAGGTCAACCTCAGGGTGAAACTGTGTCCCGTACAGCTTCTTCTGTTCGTTGGCAATCCCTGGAAAGGAAAACAGTGACGTTTTACAGCCAGAACCTAACTTGCTTTACTTTGAAAGGGTACATGAATAAAACTACTATGCAAAAAGAAAGTAATGTTTTACAATGGCACAGTCGTTTATACGTGCATATAGGCTGGGAAAAGGTTATCTTGAATGCTCCTCACCAGCAATGATGTTTCCTGACTGGGCCACCACTTTAAAACCATCAGCCACTTTATCCACGCTGTCACCGTGGGTCAGCAGCACCAGTTCCTCCTTCTGAAGGCCTCTGATGAGAAAGACACACACAGGCGTTACAGAAAGGTAAGAAGTGTTGGTTGATATGTGGTGCTATAGTTCATATTCGTCAATGTTTACATTGAAGAATAGACCTAGACAATAATTCAATATCGATATATATCAGGATATAATTTTATTCAGTAAAAGTAGTATGAGATTTAAACACATTTCCAGTATTTTGATATACACTGCAGTCTGTGGTTACAGTACTGGTCATTGTAACGCTGTGCTGCTCAGTTTTTTCTAAGCTCCAACACTTGAAGTTTTGCTACAAAATGAATGTGCATAGTAATGAGAGCAAATGTCCCATTTAGTTTCGACTGAGCTGAGATAAAGGTTTTGTTCAAATCTTATTGTTGTCAAAGCTCGCTGTGCCTTGGTTAAAAAATAAAAGGGATGGGATCTGTTTTGCTTCTACTAAAAATGAGAGGTTCAAAACAAACAAAACCATTATTAACAAATATCACACCGTAAATAGAGACAAGAGCAGGATGATGTGAGAGAGAGGGGGAGAAATCCTGACAGGAAGGGTTTAGAAATACCCCAAAAATTATTCATTGTGAAGCTCTGCCTACAACTCCATGAGGGTTTATCAAAAGTTTTTTTTATAATTGTTATTAAGGACCTTTAGTTTGTATATTCGGAGCTAGTTATGAGTTATTTGGTTAATTTAATATAGTGATTTGGGAAATTAGTCTTTGAAGCCTGAAGTTAATCATAAAAAAAATAAATAAAGGAGGTCATGACAAAGAAACTGAAAGAGGCAAGAAGGAAGAAGAGAATATAAGGCAGAAGAACATCTGTTGAGGTGTAGCTCAAAAAAATAAATAAATAAAATAATTGTACACAATTTTTTTTTAAATAATCATTTTAAAAATTTGCATGGACTTGAGCTTTCTTTGATGCTTTTCTGAGGCTTTTATATTGATTATATTGACATCAGAATTATATCACCTGAAATTAAGAAATATACCATGATATAGGTTTTGGCCATATCATTAAGTCCTGGTTAACAGTATAGATGCACCGATCTGGCAGAGCATATCAGCTGATATCCGAGACGATTCAACTGTAGACTTGATATAAACATTGCTAAGAAAAGGTAACATTTAATGCGGGTATAAATTAACATAACATAAATATTAGTTAGATGTACAGCGCACTGACTGAATTGGATCGGAGCATCTCCAGTGTAGAGTATTTGTCATATTGTGTGGGTTTCTGATTGAGTGCCAACGTATGTATCAAATATTTAGATGCATGGTAGAGTACCTAAACCTTTGTTTTAACTTAAAAGATAAGAGGAGATTCACCAGCTTCAAAAATGAGTAAATTTTAGGGCTGCATCTAACGACTTTTTTGCTAATCGATTAATCTGTTGATAATTTTTTTAAGATGAATCGATTAATAATCGGATAGCAAAAGGTTCCTTAAAAACTATTTTTTCAAACCAGGTCAAACTAAATCTTTTCCACTTGAGGAGTTCTGGATGAAACATTTTGCCAGATGAAAAAGGATTTTTTTAATCATAAAGGCAAAATATTTAGATATACTTTTACAATTCTAGTATAATTACTGCTCTAAGTGGGTTGCTCTGTCAGCTAAAGGCATGATTTTGAGCCTCTATACCCCAGTTAATAAATCGATTACTGAATTAGTTGACGATTATTTCAATAATCGATTAATCATGAATAATCCAATTGTTTCATGCCTTTTAAGTTCAGAAAGATTTAAAATAATTAACAATTAGGTCCCCATATTTTGTCTACATCAGTATAACAATGTATAGCAAATAATGATTTATAGAGTCAGTCATAAAAATTAATTTATATTAAAATAAACTCCCCACAATACCTGAAAAGGGAGCATGTGTTGTCCAGCGCAATGTTGAACACGCCATCCTCCCTTACACTCTTTTTGTGGACCGTCCCACCAAAAACTTTATTCATCATCTGTAGCAAACAAACACATTTGAGTTAATCATTTTACACTGACTTTTTTTTTTACGTGTGACATAAAGGCAAAATAAATTTTTTTTAAGTACCGTAGAAGACGGAATTATATTTTCCTTTCTTAAGAAGAGGTAAATAGCAGCAGTTATAGGTACCTGCATTCCATAGCAAATCCCAAGGACTGGCTTCCCTATGGTGAATATGGCTGGGTCAAACCAGGGGGCATCTTCTGCATACACAGAAGCTGGACCTCCTGAAATAATGATCGCTCTGAGGAGTGAGATGGAGAAGCAATCAGACAACGTTACAACATTACAGCACCTCTAAGCTTAGTCGACAGAACAAAACAGAAAAAGGAAAGAAAAAGCCTCTTTTTTTTTCTCACCTGTAACCTTGTTCTCTGATTGCAAAGCCTGGGGTCTCCAAAGGGAGAATCTCTGAGCGGACACACAGCTCCCGCACCCGTCTGTCAATCACCTTCCCGTACTGTGCGCCTGCATCCAGGATGGCAACCGCCCCCTCAAATGATCCATTCTGCTCTGTGGTGCTGATCTCCAGCTATGGATGCACAGTTACACAGATAACGGCTCATCTGTTTCATGTATTCACAGAGGGACTCGTATGGAGAAGTTGTTAAAGAAATGCACAGTTGAAATGTGCGAATAGTATGCTGGTAGGTTTGCATGAGTAGAAGCACAAGGAAGCCAATTTCTAAAACCTTTCCTGAGTGCCATGAAAATGTGACTCAATAAAAGGCATAACGTGATTAAAAACATGTGAGCTACAACCTAGACAGACAGGCACTCTTTTGAAACGTGCTGCAACCATTCTGAGAAAGGAAAATCACAAGAAACCTCAAGTTAGTCAAGGGTTATTAGCTTGATCAGCTTCTTAAATTGACATTTGTTCCCTCTGAACACAGAGCAAGAATAGGCAGTGGGGTTATAGTTTTACTGCTAAACTAGGACTTCAAGTAGAGATGTTACCAGAGAACTACCAGAGTAAAAATAAAAAGAAATGACATAACATCACAATGATAAAAGATCTATGGTAACTCGGGAGGAGCTACAGTGATGCTCTGCTCAGAAAGCAACCCAAACTGTTTGGCCTACATGCAAAACACTATGCGAGTTGAAAAACCAACACTGGAGATTAATCTGAACACAGCATCAACACTGTAAAACATGGTGGTGGCAGCATCCTGCTGTGAATGGCCTTTTAATTGAGCATGGACCTGAGTTTGGGTTGGCCTAATACATTATAATTCCAGTCAAATAGATTATTTTGTGGTTGTGACCTAACATATTTGAGAGAAAAAAACGTTCAGGAATATGACCCCTATTTGATCATTTTGGTTCATGCTATATTCTCCCACTCTGCAGAATCAGTTAGTTCAATCTCTAACGTTATGCTCTCTCTGCTTTTTCTCATAGTAGCTTCATCTGGTCTGTTCCTGTTCGGCTATGACACCAACCTGGAGATAAATATTAGCTGTACTGCTGCCATCAACACCTTTGTTTATAGATTTTGGAGATCAACCTGTTTTCCAGTGTAGTCTTGTTTCTCTGACTGTGACTGGCTGGATTTCCCCCCTTATCCTCTGATCTTCAGAGCTCGTCTGCCTGGCTGTGTGTTTCCTGGTCAGGAATTTAAAGTTGCTTTTTGTATCTCTACATCTGTCTCCTTGCACCCCAGTTGGCCACGGCAGATGGCCGCTCACACTGAGCCTAGTTCCGCTGGAGGTTTCTTCCTGTCAAAAGGGAGTTTTTCCTCTCCACTGTCGCTACAAGCATGCTTAGTGTGAGGGATTGCATCCCAGTCAATGAGTCCATGCAATCAACTGGTTTTCCTTAGATGGAAAACTTTGAATCAATTTGATTGGATGAGCCTTGAAATGACATGTGTTGTGAATTTGCACTGAATTGAATTCCAATACTTTAAAAAGTACTAAGCTGTTAAAATTCGACCATGGTTTTGTTCTTTCCTTGTGGATCTTGACAAATGCTGGACAATTTTGCCATTTGTTTTTATTAAATTGAGGTCCTACAGTGATGGAAGTAGCACTGAATCAAATGCCAATAACAAAAACAGACTCGTGATGAGCGGCAAGACAAGAAACAACCCACGTGGAAAGTGAAACCTTCATTTTCCTTCTCCAATTGTACGTTTCGCAGTTTTTTTTAATTGTCTAATGTTAGGATGCACACAATTGAACATGAGCCAGAGAGATGTGTGGGGAAAACTACTTTTAAAAAAATAACCGTTAACATCGCAGTGGTAGTTAGAGTTCCAAGTTTGCTCAACTAGCTTAGAATGTTAGCAAACTGATAGACGTTATTTTAACTGAAACTATGTGACAGCGGTCATGCAAAGTCAACGATTCAGCCAAAAAGTTAATTTGACAGCTTCCAATCCGGACCGAATGCAAGAAAAACACACATCCCTCCGTTAGCTGTGGAGTCCGGTAACAGTTTGTGCTAGGCTAAAGCTTGCTAGCGTGTAGCGAGCTAGCGAGGAGGAATCAAACCGTCGTGCGGAGCGTTAGCCTGTTAGCAGAAAGGTTAACGGGGCTATGCTAGGAACCCACGGCGCCCACTGGGCTGCTAGGACCCACTCGAAATACACGCAGACGATGGGGGAAATATGTGACAGACTTCCTTCATGTCAGATATCCCTGATATAACCCCGTAGCTGTCAGGCAGCCATGACCGTTGAAATGTAAAACTGCAACAGACTCAGAGCGGAGCGACTGGTCCTCCGCGGGGCTGCTGGTAACATGCTGACTAACTTTCCCCCCTTTAGGAGCACAGAGGCCGTCAGGGTCTAAAACCGCGGGCACATCGGCTTCACCGAGTGGTCACCCGGACCGCTCGGTGTTAAAGTATCCCATCCACTGACCTTGCTCTCTCCGTTGCACAGTGCCATGGGGGACTGCCGCCGTGTTCGGTGGTGAAAGCGCTCCCCTTCTTCTCGCTGTCCCAGGTCTCACACTGAGAGAGAGCGCTGCTGGATCAGCACGCCGACTACCGTTGGAGAGGCAGACTGAGCGGAGGGAGCAGCGGAGGGACTCTATCTACTCCTCCGGACGGGGGATGAATTTCCTCTGTGGGGCCAGACTAAACTGTCTCATGGGTGGAGCGCAAAGTGAAAATCAACAGATAGTAAAGTGGGATAATAGTCCCTGTAGGGATGGGCTTACAACGTTAGACTCAACCAATAGAGAAACATATAATTACAGTTATAACTTAGATATAATTTGTAATTCTGACTTTAATGTAAGAATTCTGACTTTAATATAGGAATTCTGACTTTTTTTCTCACAAATCTGACTTTAATATCAGAATTCTGACTTTTTCTCACAATTCTAACTTTAATACAAGAATTCTGACTTTATTCTAAGAATTCTGACTTTAATATAAGAATTCTGACTTTAAATTTTGAATTCTAAATTTTTTCTCACAATTCTGACTTTAATAAAAGAATTCTGACTTTAATATAAGAATTATGACTTTAAATTTTGAATTCTGACTTTTTTCTAACAATTCTGACTTTAATCTAAGAATTCTGACCATTTTCTCCCAATTCTGACTTTAATCTAAGAATTCTGACTTTAATGTAAGAATTCTGACTTTTTTCTTAGAATTATCAGTTTAATCTCAGAATTCTGACTTTAATATATTAATTCTGACTTTAAATTTAACATTCAAACTTTAGTCTTAGAATTCTGACTTTAATATAATAATTCTGACTTTTTTCTCACAATTCTGACTTTAATCTAAGAATTCTGACTTTTATCAGAATTTTGACTTTACTCTCAAAATTCTGACTTTTTCTCACAATTTTGACTTTAATCTCAATATCCTGACTATATTCTAAGAATTCTGACTTTAATCTCACGGTTCTGACTAATCTCACAATTCTGACTTTTTTTCTCACAATTTTGACTTTAATCTAAATTTTGACAAGAATTCTGAGAAAAAAGTTAAAATTCTGAGATTAAAGTCCGAATTTTGAGAAAAAATGACTTTTTTCTCATATTATACTGAACTAAGATTTAAAAATACAAAAAAGTGGCTCTAATCCTCTTCCGTAATTTAGTAATCATAACATTTATTTATTTATTTATTTTGCATGAAGTTGGAGCAGAAAAGTAGCATATATATTCTTGATTTACTTTAATCAGTTGACGGCAATGTGAGGCTTCATTTGGTCATCATAAAAACGTCTAATTAGGTGCATTAGGCCTGAAAAAGGGGAGATAATTCAAGAGCTTGAGTAGTTTTCCAATGAATTATAGCGAGTAAAGACTTCAGGACAACGATTCATATATTTCTGCCATAATAATAGACAATAGTGACTTCATAGAACTTTTCTAGTAGGCTATATGAGTGGTCTCCTCCTTAGTGTATAATGTCTTCTGTACCATTTATTGTTTTTAGCTGACTATATTTCAACAAATATCTCTCACATCTATAACAGCTGTTATTTTTAACATTAATTTTGTTAATGTTATAATTTTCATGTTCATGTTGACAAAATGCATTTGGTGTAGGGATGCAATTAAATATTATTTTGCAAATTGATAAATTTTTCAATTTTATTTGATTAATTGATTAAAAATCATATAGCCAAAGGTTCCTTAAAGAACTTGCAGAATTACACTAGGTTAAAACTAAAAGCTTTCCACTTGAGGAGTTCTGAATAGGGCATATTGAGAGACGAAAAAGTTTAGTTCTATCTTAAATTCAAAATGTTTATATATTTTGTTATAATTGTGATATAATTACTGCTCTTAGTGGATTGCTCTGTCAGATAAATCCATATTATACAGTCTCTACACTCCATTTAGTGATAAATCTATTACAAAATTAGCTGACAATTATTTCAAAAAACGATTAATCACAATTAATCCTATAAATTTGTTCCATTTTATTTTGGTGTAACAACCTCTTAGCTGGTCATCATGTATAAGTAAAAAATAATTAAAACAACAACACCTACTTTCTACCATTAAGAGAAGGTGCCATCCACTTCAAGGTTAAAAATACAATTTTTTTCCCTTCCTTTTATCTTTTTCCTGAATGTAAAAGGAAACCTACAAACCAAAACAGTTCACTTTTTTGTTTCAAGTATGGGAATACTCTTCAGTTTTGGAAACATGATCAGCACTTTTTACACATTTTCAAAAAGAATGTTTGGAATCCAACCTGAAAAGAAGGAAAAACAAAGCGGAAACATCTGTGGTGAGATATGACGATAACAGCCCCATCATGTGGAACATCTCACAAACGGCACTTTAAGATCAGTCGCCTCAGGAGGTTCTAGTGTCTGATCAGATTGTGTTTATCTACGGTTCCAATCAGAAGACCCTTAATCCTTGTTTTAGGTTCATGTTAAAGTCTAAGCTGAGACAAAGCATCACTTCATCTACTGAAATTGGGACAGTGTGTTTTCTGTCTAAATTGTAATGGGTCTCATGGAAGTTTGCAGCCTTAATAGTTGTGTAAGTCTCTCAAAAATCCCAACATCAGCCTCTTGGATCAAAAGTGCTTTAAACATATTCAGTTTGCTTCCTCCTATGAGATGATTATTAATCTTTTCTTTAAACTGTTGTTATTTAAAGAGTGTTCTTTTTTGATGTTTAGTTTTTGGGCTCATTTTGCTTTTCCTAAAAGTAAACTGAAATACAAACTCATCCAATCTAGGAAGATAAGGTTTTATGCCAACACCTGCTCTTTGCAGAGAGTGAATGCAGATACGATTTTGTTAAACAAACCATTTTATGTGTTAGTTTTTATATATATGTTCCACAATAGGTGGTCCAAGTGGAATGATTCTTTCTGAAATGATTTTGTTCAAATAAATTGTAAATGTGTAATATATTAAATGATTCAATGGGATAAATCACTTATGGTTTTCTGTCAATGCAAATCATCATAAGTGTGAGCGCAGGTGACTCACTAGCTTTTAGCCTTGAAGTTCTTTCAGATGCAACACCTAACAGAAATAAAAGTCTTGAATAAGAAACTTGAATTTGATGTATTTCTTTAGTGAATTCTTAACTTCTTATCTAAATAAAATTCCTATGTGCCGTTTAAAAGACTGTGATGCTCCTAAGGCTTGCATCTTCTGTTCTGACATTCTTCATGTGTCCTGACAGTTCCACACCAAACCAGCAGCCCATCAAATACAACACAATAGTTAAATAAACATTTATTTAACTAAATACATTCCTATATTACTAAATATGAAAAAAGTTGTCCTAACACTATTAAAGTAACTCAAACTCTGCAAAACATAAAAAACAGCTCTAAAAATAGGAAACTGATTTGCAAAAAAACTGACAGAAAGCTGATCTAAAAATGTCTGAAAAATTAGTGTTTTTGGCCTTGAATTGAGCAGGTAGACAATCTGCAGATGGAATGGATATTTGTTGTTTTTTATCACCTATTATTCACTTAAAATAAGATTATAGACATCTGTACTTATGTAAAATGTATCATCTTTTTCTATTGGCAAGTTGTTTTACCTGTCTGCTCAAATCAAGGAAAAATATACTTCTAACCAGAAAAGATGACAAATTTTAATGTTTGTAGTGTAGGATTCTGCCAGGAGCAGCAGGGGCCAGGAGCAGCTCTATATGGGTGGGGGCCCCTGTTGGCCACCTTCGAGAACCGACCATGTTCCTGAGATTCAGGAGGTCTGTTTCCAGTAAGATATTTCAGTTGGTTTAATTTTATCACTACATGTTTAATTTATTTAATTATTATTATTTTTTTTAAAACTTGAATTGATCTAAGTAGATCTAGTTGAATTGCATGAACATGTAGGGTAAACCATGTAAAGCAAAGCTGTCTTGTAATGACTAATAACTTATATCTCGATCAGTGACGGTAAATGAGTGGCAGCTTTAGGTTTGCCTCTTCATCACATGCTATGGCACTCTGATATGCCTGTGTGTTGTCACATGTTTGCTGTTGGGATAAGCGACTTCACATGGGCTCAAAGTAACCCACAAGGCAGAGCATGTCGTTATTCATTACCTCTTAATTTAATGTGAGGTCATGGGGGCAGAATGGACCTAAGAGACACAGTCTGCTTAGAATTAAATCACTGAATGGTTTTTAAATGACTATGCCTCTGCAACCGCTAGATTAAGACAGAAATATATTCAAACAATGCCAGATTCGAATAGAATCTGATCATTTGTCCAATAGTTTTTTTTTTTTATTTTAACTAACCAGATCTGTAGTAGAGCTACAGCTAACTATATGGGAAGAAAAGGAATGGATCCCTTTTATTGTCTCACGTGGGAGCCCTCATTGGTTGCTGGGCCATTCATTAGTATTTTCTTTCTTTGAAAAAAAATAAACCTTTCAAAACCAAAAACAAACAAACAAACAAAAAAAAACTAGCCAGTTTGAAATAAAGGTCTCAAAGTGGCTATGTGGAAAATATATATCTAATTTTTACTTTACATGACAGTTGGTATAAAATCATGTCGAATATTGTTTTTCTGCTGCATCAGATATCCTGTTTTATTTTAATTGAAACAGGTAAAGAACCCTCAATCAAGATGAAGGAAGCAAGGAAGGAAGGAAGGAAGGAAGGAAGGAAGGAAGGAAGGAAGGAAGGAAGGAAGGAAGGAAGGAAGGAAGGAAGGAAGGAAGGAAGGAAGGAGCTATCTAATCAAAGTATCAAAAAAATAAAAAATAAAGATGGATAAAAAAATATATATACTGATGGCCAGCTCTATGCTATGTTTGGTGATAAAAGCAGTACACATTTTCTTTCTTAATCATTGAAGTAATCTGCTGGTGTTTCTCTGGTGATAGTTGTTGTTATTGGCACAAAGCTAGGATGTTGCATCTTTCCAATGCAACACAGATGTTTGAGACTATGGTCAGACCTCAAAGGGGAAAACAAAAAAAAGCACCTTTGTTAGTTGATTAAAGTAGAATTGTCTGAAAAGCATCTATTTATTGTGGCTGTGAGCTAATTGTACATGTTTGTTGTCAGTGTATCAACCACCCAGTCCTCTCAGGTTTTCTGTTTTATTCTCACATACTCACTATCACATATTTATGCATTTATTTATTTAGATTATTGACTAAATTATTTATATATTACATTTATATGAGCTTTTCTTTAACTGCCTATATTATGCCACTGCTTTTTTTTCCTATTTTTTAAATACTTTATTCATGTACAGCACTTTGAAATAAACTAACCTTTACATATATAATATTGGGTATTTTCTTCATTGTTCTTCTCTGCAGACATTTGTTTACTGATTTTGTTTTGACTAAAACCATATAAATCCAAAATAAGAAAAAAGATTAAGTAAATTCCAAAATGGGGATAGTAGTCACCATCTTGGAACTCAGAAATACAAAAGGACAAATATGAAAAAAATAAGCCACGATAAATACGTACTATGATAAAAAAGGAGTCAGGCATCATCTTAGAAACTAGTATTTATATAAAATAAGATAATCCACATATGATTAGATTTAGACAAAATCTGAAAAAAAAAAAATACGAATTAATACTTAACTTTCAATTGTCAAATTCAAAAGAACTTTAGATTTTCATTTAGTGTTATATTTTTCTCCCCATCCATCCTAACTTTCACCTCTTTCATCTTCTCTCATTATTATTATCATAAATTTCATTTAAAGTCAAAAATATTTTTGAAACATCAGAAAATTTCAAGATTTTGAAACAAAATTTAAAGATTTTCAAACAAACATCTCAGAATCTCAAAATATTGGAAAGTAGACAATAAAATATAGTATAGTCTAATAATGATTATACAAATAGAAATAGCAATAAAAAAAATCAATAAACAAGAAATATCAATAACATTAATTTCATAACTCACTAACAAGTTTCCGAGCAGTATGCTTTTACAAATATTTCACTGATTAGAAGAAAAAATATTTTTTTTGGTCTAGATGTGTAAACTCTATTTGTTGTGGATAAACTTTTATCCAAAATGTTTATAGATTAAAAGTCAAAACTGTGACCATGTGAGTAGGAAGTGAGTGATGGGTCCCACTGTAAAAACCTTCCGTCATTTTTCCCTGGGGAGGAACCTTAGCAGCGGCGTCTTCAGACACGTCAGCTGAAGGTACCCGGACACATTTCAGTGCTACGCACAGCGCTCTTCCTGGTGCCCTGTGTTTTTGTCAGCCGGTGTGTTTCCAAGTTATTCGCTAGTCTCGTAATTCCTCTTGTCCATTCCTTCTGTTAGGATGTTACCGTCTGTTAACCGAACTGAGCAGTGAAACCAGCCGCTGATTGGCTCTTTGATTCCGCTGCTTCTGTGTTTGTCTCTGATTTGGCATGCTGTCATCACCAGGTATGCATGATCCCATCTACTGCTTTTCGCTATTGTCCCTTCTATGCATGTTTTCTGCGTGTCTTTAAGTTTATTCTCGTTAACAAGTCTGTTGAAGGCCATTAAGGTGACAAAAGCAACGTTCTGGTAATTTTTCACTCACCTAGTTGATCATTTAACTTCCTGTTAGAGATCAATGAATGATTTATGTGTCATAACTCTTTTTAATTATTGTTAAAATCATAACGGCTCTTAATTGCCAAAAGTTCTCAATTGAAATTAATCGTTTGTTTATATTTCGCCTTTTCTATCATGCCATGTTTATTGGAGACAGTAGATTGACATAGAAGCTCTCCATCTCTTTCATTGGTAATTTCTACTTTCATTATGCAGAGTTATTTTGGGCGCAGAAGTTTTGATGCCCTCAGCTCCATCATGGAGTCCTCAGATTTGACCACACGCAGGAACGGGCGGCAGAGGAGAGTAGCAGGCGCCTCCACCGTGCCTGAGCACACTGGGTACATGGACAGAGGGGAGACGAGCTCCCCTGAGCCAGAGATGGAAGAAGATGACATCCTCATCAGGAGATCCGACTCAGAGGACAGGAGGCGTCACCGGGGGCGACTAGGGATCCGTGGTGAACTGGGGAATATTTTACTCCTCCTGTTCCTCTATGTGCTTCAGGGGATTCCTTTAGGACTGGCCGGCAGCATTCCTCTGATCCTTCAGGGCAAGAATGTCAGCTACAGAGACCAAGCCTTCTTCAGCTTTGTCTTTTGGCCGTTCAGTTTGAAGCTTTTCTGGGCGCCGTTGGTGGACGCCCTGTACTTCAGCAGGTTTGGGAGGAGGTAAGATACAAGTCCATGTACAGATGTGTTAAAGATGCTCTATCTTTCTGGTTCTTTTCCCTAAAAGAGATCACTCACGACAAACTCTTTAAAAAACACATCATAATTTATATGTATTAAATAACCAGGAGACATGACAACAGATTCTGATAGAAATCGTAATTTTACTCAGATCAGAAAAATTGCTTAGAGTTTACAGAAGGCAGCTGCTCCCCTCTCAGGAAGTGGCCCCGATCAACAGTTAAAAAGCCATTTTATACATCTCCAGTCTGCCGTATCATTACATCATACACGATAGCAGATGATTAGACATCCGTGGCTCCAGCCTTATCAAAATATCACTCTTCGTTCTTAGCTGAGGGATGCCGCTCTCATTCCATTTTCAAATCTTTGCAACGTACAAAATGAAGATTATAACTATATATATCCAGACAGGGGAACTGTCCTAATTGGATTAAAATGTCAGTTCTGATGCGTAACAGGCAGCCCATACCAGGGTGTAATAAACTCACACATCTTCGATGATAATTATACTAACAGATGGATGATACTGATATTTGCTCGTGTGTTTTTTCAGCTCTGGGCTGTTGCTCATCTCTTGTGTGTTTTCTGCAGGAAGTCATGGCTGGTGCCCACTCAGTACCTGCTGGGCCTGTTCATGCTCTACCTTTCAGTAACCGTCAACTCGCTGCTGCAGAGGGAGAAGGGACCTGATGTGGTGACGCTCACTGCAGTCTTTTTTATGCTTGCCTTCCTGGCAGCCACACAGGTAACATTTATTAAGCGCACATCCAGTGCCTTGTAAAGGTATTTACACACCTTTAACCTTTTTCAAATCACATGCATTAAACTCAATGGATTTAATGCAAAGGTCAAAACCAAATCAGGATATAATTTCTAGGTGGAAGGAAATATAAAGTGTAAATATGGAGCAAAATGTTGTAGAAACATAGAGTCGAGTCCTATAATCCTTTTAAATAGGACACAACTCAAGGTTTCTACTGCATTTTGCTCAATATTTATTTTGCACTGCAATTAACTTTTTTATATTAATGCCCTTTTGCACCATTACTGTATTTTTAACTGGTTTCTTTTTCTTTTACATTGTTCACACTCTGATCACTGCTGCACTTTATATTGGTAATGTTTATCATACTCCAACTGTAATATCATTACGCTATTGTAAGCTGTATGCAATAAATTTTTTATTATGTCTACACTCTGTGCATACAAGTTTTATCTAAGTCTAAATTTATGTTGTTCAAACAGGAACCAATCTGATGTGGTATGAATACTTTTGGCCTGTCAAATGGACCACTCCCATCTTATTTCTTTCTCTCTGTATGCTAGGATATAGCTGTGGATGGCTGGGCCCTTACAATGTTATCCAGAGAAAATGTGGGTTATGCATCTACCTGCAACTCTGTGGGCCAGACGGCTGGATACTTCCTGGGGAATGTGCTCTTTTTGGCCCTGGAGTCTCCTGAATTTTGCAACAAGTACCTCAGATTAGTGCCTAAAGACACAGGCATCGTCACCTTGCCAGGTACGTCGCTCCCTTTTCCCGTAGAATTGAATTGAAAACAAATCTATGCATGTTTTTTTTTAAAGCTGCTTTTATCTGGTTGCATAAGGGGGCAGATCCTTAAATTAATGTGTTCTACTCCTTCTACACACCTATCCTCTTTAAAGCCCTAGTTTGCAGAGCGGTTACAAAGGATCAACATAATCTAATTGTGCAAACATATCAGACAGGAGAAGTCTGCCTGATAATCCCAACGAATAAAAACAAAAACAAAGGGAAGACAAAGTATTACGTTCATGTAGGCACTCTTATGCAACCACTATATATATATATATATATATATATATATTTATATATATTGTTTTTTTTAGAACTATCCCCTCTAGGTTTCTACATTATAAATGTCTCACTAAAGTTGTTTCATTTTCGATACCACATAAACCTGTTTTGTGAAACATTTCTGTGCCAGTCTTTTCCTTGAACCTTTAGATGAATGAATTGGGTCTTTTTGTTCTCCTTTGGTTGATTAAAGGGAATCCTTTGTTCTTCTGCTGCAGATTTTCTGTTTTTTTGGGGGGTGATGTTCCTGGTTTCCACCACCCTGGTGGCCATCTTTAAAAGGGAAAACAATCAAGGCAGAGGGAGGAGGAACGTCCCGGAAGAGACTCAGGGTGTCATGGAAACCTACAAGCTTCTGTTCTCGATCGTGAAGATGCCCACAGTCTTCACCTTCTGCTCCCTGCTCCTCACAGCTAAAGTGAGCAGAGAGACAATATGTGCTGTCTCTATGTGATGAACGTTCTTAACAGGGCGGATCTTCTCTCCATCAGATCGGTTTCTCTGCAGCGGATGCTGTTACGGGTCTGAAGCTGGTGGAAGCTGGAGTCCCTAAAGAGCAGCTGGCCCTCCTTGCGGTGCCCATGGTGCCCCTGCAGATCCTTTTGCCTGTGGTCATCAGCAGATACACGGCAGGACCCCGGCCCCTTGACGTCTTTTACAAAGCATTCCCGTTCCGGTAGGCACTCCACCAAACCCGCCTCCTTCTGTTTGTAAGCTGTTATCTGAACGCTAACAGAGACCTATTCTGTTTTGCAGGCTGCTAATTGGGCTCGAGTATGCTCTGCTGGTGTGGTGGACCCCCAGTGTGAAACAAGAGGGAGGGTTCCCACTTTATTACTATGCCATAGTCTTTCTCAGCTATGCATTGCATCAGGTTGGTCCTCCTGTTTTGTTTCTTTTTGTTCTAACCTCTAGATTTGGCTTCTAGTTAAGACCAAAAGGATTCGCAGTTTCTGGTTCTTTACGTCAACTAGAGCTGCAACTAACGAACATTTTGCTAATTGATTAATTTGTCAATTATGATTTCAGTCGATAATCTCATTGCAAAAGGTTCCTTAAATTTTTTACAGAATTAAACCAGGTGAAACCAAAACATTTCCACCTGAGTTCGAAAGACGAAAATATTTTTTATTAATTATGATTTATTTATTTTCTTTTGGTATAATTACTGCTCTAATTGGGTTGCTCTGTCAGCTAAAGGCTTGTTTAAGAGTCTCTTTACTCCAGTTAATGATTAATCAATTACTAAATTAGATGTCAATTATTTAATTGATTGATTGATTAATCCGATTTATTGTTTCAGCCCTTACGTCAACACAACACAATTTAAACAGGAAAATTTGCTTCTAACCGCGTCTGCTTTTACAATTGGTCAAACGAAGCAAAGTATTAATGTTTGTTTTTGCCTCATTTCGCATTGATTTAGCTTTTTCTTTGCGACTTCTGAGTCTGGTTCATCTGGATTTATATGACTTTGTCTTCATCTATAACTTGGTGTCAAACTGCTACAGTTTGACAGTTGTTTTAAAACCTGTGATGCAGTTTATAAAGCAACATTCTTTTCTCTGGGTGCAAACTTAAACCATTGAGCCAGTTCTCTCCTTCAGTAGGAGGCTGTTACTGGTAAACCAGATGTGTTCTATTTTCGTCTTCAAGTTAAACATTTCTTGTAGGTCAAAAACTACTGTTAGAAATCTAAAAAGATATCACAAATTAGTATATTTGTCTTTAAGATTAGATAATTAGATATCATGCACTTGAAACGTGTAAATAATCCTATTAAATAATCTAATCTGGTAAAGTATCTGTCTTATTTGCTCAAAACAAGGTAAAATATTTAACTTAGAATTCAATATTTAAATGAGAAAATTTATATAATCACATAGAATAATCACAAGACAAAAATAATAATTATTTCTGTAATTAACACTAAAACTCTCCACACAAAACTAGTACAGGAGGTGTTAATGGCCCCTGGGCCACACTTTTTAAACCCCCGTCTCTTCATTTAACAGACATTAAAAGGGGTTAGATATTTAACGGAGAACAATGAGCCTGAAACAGCTCATTTTCCTACAGAAGTTTATTAAGATGTTATAACAACAGACTAGACATCCAATCCCTTCAGGTAATAGAAGCCCTGTATTAGTAGATGTATGAGAAAAATGATGAACATTATTTAAGGGCTAACAGGCATGTTGGAGCTTTTCTTCTGATGCCACGAGGATGTTTTAAGTTAGATCCATAGAAGACTATTTTTTTTTTGTTATTTTTCTTATTCAGAAACTGAATCTGTTGAGAAATTAAGCCCTGTTTCAAGCAACTACCAATATTTTTGGTATAATTTAAAGGCTTCTTTCGGTAGATCTTAGTTGACTTGAAGCACAGAAGTGAAGCGAGTTTAGCAACAACATCTAAGAAGCTCCTGAAAGACAACAAAATATTTCACAATACTCAGCTGCTCCTGCAGAAAAGCTAAGGAAGCTAAATGGTTGAGACTCCGCAAATGACTCCATATTGCATCAGGGAAATTATCCCGAACACAAAGAAGTAATACATTCAGGCTGATTTTAAAGATCTGGAATCAGGCTGACCTCAGGATTGAGATTCTGTGGACTGTTTTAGACTTTGGGCAGAAAAACCAACCCGTTTAAATGAGTTCTGATAAGAGAGTGGTCATATATCCATCCAGAAGGGATGCAGAGCTTAAGATTACTGGGACTGTTATTTATATAGAACTATATGCATATTTCTGGCTTTGCTTAGATAAACCGTGACTTTAAAGCAGGGCACCAAATTCCTTTTTCTCCCGAAAAGCAAAAAGATTAATTCAAATCGCAGATTAACTGTGATACCCTGAGATCCAACGATCAGCTGTTGCTCACTGTTCCTTTTCCCCGCACAGAACTAGGGAAGAAAGCCTTAAGCAAACAGCTCCTTGTGGGTGGCATTTTTTACAAAGAAACTGAAAGTTGACGGAGTTTTTATCTTTAAATGCTTTTAAGTTGAAAGTGAGCCTCAATGTACCTGTCATTTAATTTAATGTATCTCTGTTATGTAACTTTGCTGCCTCTTGGCCAGGACTCCCTTGATAAGTGGGTTTTAAACATAATGGGAATTTCTTTCCTGGTTAAATAAAAAATAACTCAGTGACCAGTGTTTGCAAACTTCTGATTCTAAGAATAAACTCTCGGCTTGTTGGATTGTTTGGTCCCTAGGTGGCGCTGTACAGCATGTATGTGGCCTGCATGGCCTTCCACGCCAAAGTGAGCGACCCTCTCATAGGGGGGACCTACATGACCCTGCTCAACACGGTCACTAACCTGGGGGGTAACTGGCCCTCCACCGTGGCCCTGTGGATGGTTGACCCCCTGACCTCTAAGGAATGCCAGGGCGCCGTCGGTCAGAGCTGCAGCTCTTCTCTAGAAGCAGGGGTGAGTGGTGCAGGAGATGCAGGAGAATCTTACCTGCTTTTATTTAGAAACTAATCCGCTCCTCCCCATCTCCAGTTGTGTGTTAAAGAAGGAGGCGTTTGTGTGACGACGCTGGATGGCTACTATGTGGAGTCGGTGGTATGCGTTGTGATCGGTCTCCTCTGGTGGCTGTGGCTGGGGAAGAAGATGAGGCGGCTGCAGGAGCAGAGCCCCGGCGCCTGGAGGTGCAGAGTAAACCAGTGACAAAAGTCCCACTGACACTTTAAGCGAGCGCAGCTTCATGATTTGCTCCAAAACCAGCTGGACTCAACCAGCACCTCACCTAAATCTCCTGCTCTGGTCTGCCAGATTTAGGAGACATTTTACCATCAAACCTGTCGCTTCGATGTACACACGCACGAAGCGAATCGCTGTTTTCTTTTTATAAAAAAGCTGTAATCATTTATCATCACCATCTTTTTAAAGCCTCCTTGTAGTTTTTATTTACCGTGTTTTGCTGCTTTAAACCAAACAGAGGCTGGTTCGAAGAACATGTTGGTCAATATTTGTTTTCCACTTTAGTTGCAGACCTTTAAAGAACCCAAAAGGTTCGTTAAATAAGATTTTTTATAAGTTTCAACACTTTAAGCTCTGACTTATCTGCCTTACAAGAAAGGAACAGATGCATTTATAATCCTAACTCAAAGCATGAGTGAAGGGTTGCCGCATGTACTGTACTCAATGGGCTTTACTATGAAGCAGGACTAGTGTCTCTATGATGGATGTTCAGAGGGAAATTTAACCTTTATTGAACCCATTATTTAATCAAAACAGCGAATGAAATAGGGGCACATATTTTTTTTTTTTACAGAAAAAGCAAGAGACTATCTACAGCATGTGGATATCGCTTGTTTTTTCCTTTTATGTCAACTCATTTAGGTTTACTAAGAAGCCCACTTTGTGTGACATCATACTCTCTAGTAATATCAAGTCTTGGTTTTAATTCAAATCCAGACAAATGAATAAAATAATCCTCGTCTCCTGTAATTTAAAAGTGTTCAGCATTACATCTAGATGTGTTTGCACTTATTTGTCTTCTTAGTTTTAAGAAAAAGTTTGTTTTTAGTTGCACCTATCAGGCTTTTGCTGGTTGAAGCCACTTTCTGGTTTTCTTTGAAGTCCGACATGTAAGATTTTGGATTTTGTGTTTTTCAAAGGACTGTATCATATAAAAATAAATAAGGAAAAAAAGACACTATGAGTTCTTTGGAAAATGTAGGTTTAAATCCAGCAGAAAATGAAGGAAGATTATTTCCGTTTATGCATCAAAGTGAAGGCCCATAAAAGTCATCACATCAAACACAAGGCGCATCAAAATGTGTCGCTTTGTCATTGATATCTCGGCTGGCAGGAAGTGAAGAGAGACTCAAGGAAAGCTTAATATAAAATTTCATGCAAAGACAATTTTATTAGTTTCACAAATCCTGCTTTCCATAATTTATGGCAATAAAGCTCTAACAGGCTGGAAACCCGGTGTCCATAAAAAAATAGCTGCATTCAAAATATATTAAATCAATGTTAAGTTGACAGCGTTTATGAAATATTCACCAACCCTAACTTGGACTTTTACAACAGGAACGACTGTTTACAGTTTTTTTTAGATATACATTTTCTCTTTATTGCCTGATGCAAACAGATCCAACAGAATAAGACTGAAACTAGCCTCTAGAATAGATGCATGCATATTTATGAGATCAGTTGTAGACAATCAGATCTGCTTTAATCTTTTAGCTCAAAAAACAAACTCAGAAATAATCAACATATTTACTTCCTTCCTGTTTTTTTTTTCTGTTTTTTTTTTGTTTTTTTTCTGTTTGATTGTGCTGCTTTTCAGCTTTCTTTAGTGTTTTCATGTTATGCTAAAAATAAACGGATCCCCAACCTATTCCGTCAATTAAATCTGCGCTGAGAGAGATGAAGATGATTGTAATGTAGAGCATAATAAACCCAAACCTGCTTCATAGTATGTTGCCCAATTTAAATTTTAAGTTAAACCGATGATTAATTTAAGCCTTTTTATGTTTAATCTACTCAGATCTGTTTATAATTGAAATTGTAGTAGTTTTTATCTGGTTATACCGTGCCTTGCTTTGATAATAGAAACATTTCAGTCAATATGTTTATGGTGTTTTAATTTGGGTTATACTGCCATCATGTGGCAGAGAAGTAGTACTGCTGAATGAGCTGTTATTGGTTGGTAGAGCAGATGAAATGAAACAAGGCAGCTTTAATCTGTGTCAGTGGGAATGTGCATAATTAAAGAGGAATTCAACTCGCACTTTCTAGTCTGAAAACTGTCATCTACTGTTAAATAACATCTTTTCCCTTTTTAATGTAATAGTTTAACTAGACATACAATTCCCTGTTAGTATATATACACACCGGTTTAAATAATTTAAATAAAATATAAGAAATATTTTTTCTTTCAATTCATGCAGCTTTCTCTAGTTTATTATACATATAACTGGATGGATCGCACTACTTTATATTGCTGCAATGAAACATTAAACCTTTTAATTTGTTTATATCTGTAGTTTTGATGCTGGTAACCAAGGTGAAAATATTGGTTCATCACATACATTTTTATTTCTTGCTGTTGTATTTAATAACTGCACTGCCAAAAGCAAACCAAAGCCTCATGGTAGTCAACTGACAGAGGCGTATGTGGATAATATTGTGCACCAGGGGTGATTTCTCGTGCATGGGAACAGAAGGAAACATGTCTAAATCCCGGAGTTTTTCTATGTGCAATTGTCTTTTATATTTACCCACATTGTCATTATCAGAGATTTCCATTTTTTATCTTTGTTGCAGATTCTCATTGATATTTCTGGCATTAATATGACACTGATTTATTTTGACGGGTGGTGGGTTTGTACTTTTAGTTTAGTGTGAAACATTTTTCTTAGTTTATTTCAAAAAGTGATTTTCTTTTTTTTTTTTATTGAAATCTTTCCCATTCCTATGCCATTTAAACAAGTTTAAGGTTAAACGTTTTGTTTGTAACCTTTCCACTCTTACATGAGTTCTGATACTTTGTCCTACATCAGCAAAATTAAAAATTAGTAATCGTCTAAATCTGATAAAAACAAGGGCATAGAATCACTACTTCTGTAAAAAGGTTTAGGTAACCCTTTGGTCAATGATGATTTGGTCAGCGGTTCTCATATCTATGGTTGATGTCTATTGTTCTCCCAATATCATCACCTGACCAAGCCTTTTTCTAATATGCCACACTACAAAATAAAAGAATGATTCATGCCAATATGTCAGGTCAATATTGTTATATGAGAAATGAAGAGTTGTAATGGGAGGGCACCCATTTATAGATTTATATGTAGCATTGATGAAGTAAGCTCACTGACTACAGAAAGGAGTTATGGATGTTTCTACATCTGACATTTACCTTCAGGCATGAATGAAAGTTAGTAAATGAGAGCAAATCAAGACTAGTGGAAAGGAAATCCTTTTACTTTATATTATTGGTTAAAATGTTTCAGGTTTAATTGAAAGAATGTCCAGGTTTGTAGATTAGGATTTTTTCCCCTCCAATATATCCAACATATGAAGCCATAAAAGTTATGTTCTTCTCTGTAAATGTTTGATTCATTTTGGGCCTCTGAAATAAAGCACTTACTTTGTTTTTAAATCACATTTCTATTTTATTGCTACATTTCAAATGACTGCTATCAGTCAGTGATCAGAATCTGATCACTGATACTTTACATTCAAGAACTAAATTTCAATTCAATTAAACATTTTTTTTCATTTTAGTGTAGAAACCGTTTAAAAGGAAATTTCTTTTTAAGTCTAAAACAGTAAATGTCTTTCCAAACTTATCCTGACAAACAGATCTGGGCTGTTCAAACTGAACCTATTTCATCTTGAGGTTATTTCCTGTGTAGAGGGAGTTGTTTTCTCCCACTGTCGCCACATGCTCACATCCCAAACTGGCCCCCAAACCACTAACCCTTAACTATCAAGTGTCACAGTGACACCCCATTCTGTAGCTCTGTGGCGCAGGTTAACAAACATTTGCCCCTTTCTTTAGACAAATATATACGGTCAAATAAAACAATTTCAAAGAGGACCTTACATTTTGGAAATAATTGCGTTTTTTTTCATAAACTTGTGATTTTCTGTCAGTGTGAAAAAAATGTCAAGAGGAGCCAGTTTAGGTTGCCCGGCATCTGGTTAGGATGCCTCCTGGACGTCTCCTGGTGAGGCACATCCCACCGGGTGGAGGCCCAGGGGGAGACCCAGGACACGCTGGAGTGACTATGTTTCTCAGCTGACCCAAGTGGCTGAAAAGAGGGACATCTGGGCCTCCCTATTGAAGCTGCTACCGCCGCGACCCGACCCCGGATACGTGGAAGAAGATGGATGGATGGATGAAAAAACTGCAGCAAACCAGCGGAATTTACATTTGGAGGAAGGAGTTTTTTCTGCCACCAGGCCGCTGTTACACCTGTTGCCGAATTCCAGCGAGCTTCCAGCTGATGCAGACTTGCTTAACAGTCCACTGGCCCTACCGAATACATAGTTTGAGATGGCACTTAATGTGGCAGACCCTCCGCTGGAACACGCCTACAAGAGGGCTAGTGCTTAGTGGCCGGTTTGGGCCCTCCTGTGGAGTCAATGGTGTTTTAGCGTAAATATTTGTATCTTGGATTCATTTGATCAGATTCCTGACCAGTGATTGGACCTTGTCTTATAAACTGCCTGAAAATACTAATTTTTATGAAGTGGTGCTATATAAATAAACAAAATGAAGTAATAATCCTGCAAATTAACCTCTTCCACGAAAGAAAACATCTGCATTTCATATGTTAGTGTTTTTTTTTTTATGCATTAACTTATTCCTGAATAAGATAATGCAGATGTAGGAGGCTCTAAATGTTTTTCCAGGCCTTAGAAAGCTGTTGAGATGAACTGACTGACTCCAGGAAGGACAAGTGTCTGAGCATCCTGCAGAGGAGAGCTGTTGGTTTGACGCAATCAGCACCGGGGCTTTTATGTTGGTGCAAACATAATGCTGCACAGAGCTGAATAATAATGGAGAGATGCAGCATGTTGTGTGAGGAGCATAGATCTAACAGGTTTTTATGTCATTTCACAACCACACCGCTGAAGGACTTGATCGTTTTATTCATCAGAGGCTTTCTCAGAAGATGCACAGCACAGTAAATGGATCCACTTTGTAAGACTTCGTAAAACAAAGTAAAACTTTTAATTTGTAGAGCCTCTTTTAATCTGCTCTTACAATCCATCTCATCAATGATCCTAATTCAGACCGTTTTCCAGAACCAGGAACCAATCTGTGAAATAATCCACCCAGTAGTTTACTGGCATTGACTAAAACAGATCAAAGCACTTTGGATATCATAAAGTACAGCAGACTGACTGCATCTCAGTTCCAAGCATACCGTAGTGTGAGAAATGATCGCCGGAGACAAAAGTCGACGGATCGGAGGTGTCCAAGGAGACGTGGTGAGGCAATGATGCCGCTCGTAGCGCTTCCCTCCAGTCTGCCTGAGTGCCCAAGCACATCCTCCAGGCTGGGACAGTTCATGTGGTGTGCAGAAGTTTAGATTCCCATTGTCTCTAGCATCCATTCCTGTTTGTTCGCCTTTAAGAAAAAATGTCACCAAACCAGAGGGAGGAAGGGGGGGAAAAGGTCAGTCAGGGGTCATAGGTTCATACGTAGATGCTCGGGCCGTTTGGCCACCATGGGGTACGCTGGCTGCTTCATCTGGGCCAGATTGGCCCCAGCAGGTTTTCTGATGGGGAGAGGGGCCGAAGCCTCTGAGCTGCTTGTGACGTCCATCTGCTCCGTGGTGGACAGATCCATGGCCTGCTCCAGAGGAGACGGGAGGACACTCGGTCCTACCCCAGGGATGAGAGGACTGCGAGACCAGCCGGGGCTGAGGGGGCAGGAGACACAACCGGTTAGGGCCTTCAGTTTCAAATGAAGTCAAACAATCTGAATAGATGGGAACCACCTTAGAAGAGTCCTAGGACTGTCCATGATGCGACGAGGGGAGCGGATTTTTGGCTCAAAGGAGAACCTCTCTTTGATGTTTTCTAGAACTGAAGGAGCAACATACGTAAAACCCTGAAAAATAAAATAAAATTCAACTTTTAATTTCTACAAAAATGACTTAAAATGTTCATACATTTCCAGGTTTTCATTTTTTGACCCAAACATACAACTGACATCTAAAAACTGTCCTTAAAGGTCCCATATTATGCAAAATTCAGTTTCTAAAAATGTTTAAACAGTGATGTGTCCTGAAGCCTGGTTATGAGCTTCACAAATAAAAAAATAAAAAAAGCCTTTCACATTAATCGTTGCCTTTCTCCACCTTTTAGCTAATATGTTCTCAAAATGCTTTGTTTGAAAAACATTCCCCTTATGATGTCATAAGGGGAAACAAACTGTCCACAGGGGTCTGTAGCAGCCCTTCAGCCTTCATCTGAGGTATTTCTCCGGAATTCTAGGCTATCTTATTCTGACTGGTTGTCATGGTTTTGGGGACGTGGCCTTATCCAGCAGCTGGCTGAAAAAGGACATTTTTGGTAAAGGCGGTCTGTCTAATCTGAGACGAATTTTCAGGAATTTTCCTGCAGAAACAGCCAAAACATGCTCTGGGGGCTTGTTTGTTAATAGTTTTTATTTTCAAATGTAGAATAATATTGGATAAAATAAAATTTTACTGGAACACATTTTAAATGCAAAAAAATCAATGTTTTGCAAAACCAACGGCAATATATGCAAGCTTTGCAATTTTTACCAATAAAACCAAAAAATCTTAAGAGTTTCAGTCCCAGTTTCCAGAACCATAATTTCATTGCTTTTCAGCTTGACAGATATATCTGTATAGCTGCAGACATCTTTGTGGATGTATCTCATGTAGATTAGGATCATCATGTTTATTCTAATACATAGATGTGTCCTTGTTCCACCTCACCTGAATGAAAACCAGAGAACCCTGACCTAAATACTGTATTCTGAAGGAGATTGAGTTCAAGATCTCTAAGGTTGTGTCCCGTGGCCTTTATTTCCAGTCTTTTGCAGCTTCTAAAAGGGTTTTGTTGAAGCATCAGGCTGTATTTCCCTTCATCCATCTTCTCCTATACCCACTGACCTGTCCCTGTCGCAAAATTATATTCCCAGAGATGCAAAAGCCTTCAAAACCTAATCTTTTTCCAGGCTGTGTGGATTGGAACAGACTGAAAAGCCTTGGATGCTTTGCTTTTTTTGTTCTCTTTTCAAAGTCCAAATGTTCAAAGCTAGACGTGTTTATTTAGTTACTGTACAATGTGACTGAAGTTCGCTGTTATAATGTGAAAAAAGTGAAAAACTAAGCTAGAACCCTTGCGATTGAGAGACAGACCTCAGAAAATGCATCTCTTACAGTAAGCTTTTATCAAACTGCCATATTTAATCAGATAACAGTGACGGCGAGTTTCTTTTTAAGCATTACCAGGAATGCTTGATTTGCACTCTCGCTGAGGGTAGAGTCGTCGGGGCTGTCGACCGGAGTCTGGCTGGTGAACTTCGAGTCAAACTGACTCACATCATCTGCTGATTGCTGGTCAGACATGAGAGGATGGGCAGGTTTTGGGTTACAGCAATACGAGATGATAAGTCAAAGCAAGCAGAAGTGGATCAGAAATAGAAGGCAGCTTGGCGGATCTTTTGAACCTTAGTGTTACTAAAGCATGTTTTACTTCATTTTCCCACCAAATACTCCAGTGATGATGAGTTTTACTCACAAGCACAGGTTTGAACGGAGGCTCCACCTTCCGGGCCAACAAATCTTCCCAGTTAATGTGTCGGAAGAAAGGATGAGCCTATAAATTCCAAATATAGAAACAAAAAATGGTTAATATCATCTTAAAATAAAAGGTCCTGCACCTTTCATCAACATTTTAGATATGGGAGTCTGCAGAATGTGGTTCTCCCTCCCTCTTGTTCTCACCTGCACTTCTGTAGCATCTCCTGGTCCTGCTCCCAGCCGCGATGAAGCATTTCTCTTCAGCAGCTGTTCAACCAGACAGCAGATGTTAAAAACAATCAGATAAAAATAACAGCATGAAGGTTTATGATGAAAGCAGGAAGTACCCGTTTTAGAAGATCCCGGGCTTCTTGTGTGAGGTAGGGCGGGAGGCTGAGCTTGCACTTTAGGATTTTATCAATGGTCTTTTTTCTGTTCTCGCCAGTGAAGGGCGGCTAAAATCAGAGAGGGACGAAGGTTAGGGCGGACGGTACGGGTGTTAATTCACACCAATAGAGAGAAAAAGGAGGAGGAGGAGGTTCTACTGACCGCTCCAGTGAGCATGTCGTACATCAGAGCGCCCAGACTCCACCAGTCCACAGCTCTGTTGTGTCCGCTCCTCATTAAGATCTCTGGAGCCCTGAAACGAAGCAGCCCCAAAGCGTTTGAGGATGAAGGACGTTTGGTCAGAGAAAGAATGAGACCGAGAACCAGAGGCGAACATACATGTATTCGATGGTTCCGCAGAAGGTGTGGGTAACCGTCCCATCGTGGATGGACTCTTTACAAAGACCAAAATCTGTCAGCTTAACATGACCTGCAGAGAAACAGAAGAACATTTACTGGAACTGCTCCACCTGCTGGTCGCTATCAGTTCAGCGACAGGAAGTTCAATGGAAAATAAAGCTGATTTCAAACCAAAAACTTCATCTTATTCACATTAACTACTAGGTTTTCAGGAGAAAACATTTCCCACTCAGAACATCCTTTCCCTTCCACCCCATAATTATGCTGCAGTTTAGCTAGTCTCTCAAGTACATCCTAAAAAAAAAAGAAAAACGCACTGAACTTTGCAGTTCTCATATGAATTAATTTTGCAGAACAATTATCAAAAAAAAGACGCCTTAAAACACACATCAACTTGTGCGGACTGACCTTGGCTGTTGAGCATGATGTTCTCGGGCTTCAGGTCCCTGTAAATGATGCCTTTTTGGTGCAGGTGACCCAGAGCCATGGAGATCTCAGCGAGGTAAAAACTACAGCCGCAAATAAAACAAACAGCTTCAGACCAAACATCCCATCTAAGTGACAATAAGGCAAACACGACTTAGATATTTTAAGATATTTTCATTTCTGCAGTAAATGTAAAGCATACCTCCATACCTATCAGCATCCCTGGCAGAGATGTGTAAAAACCCTTAAAGTTATTGCTAATTGCAGTAGCATAAAGACACTGAAAATAAAAAAATTCATGTTTGTCAACTGGTGGAAAAAAAGTGCCATGTTAACGGTGCGTTGTGCAAGTTTAAAAGGTAGGTTTCTTTTATTCTTTCCCGTTCAGGCCTTTAGAATGACCCAGCTTTCCTCCATTTACAGCAGCTGCCTCTATAGGCTCCTCAATCGGTTCAAAAGTGGTTGATTCAGGCCTTGTGTGGGTGTGAGGCACTGCCTGTTTTCGTCTACCGAGCTACTTTGACTCTGTTAGGCAGAAAGAGAGCAGGAGTGACTGCTTGGGAAGATGGATCCCTAAAGACCAGCCATGAGTGCATCTGAAACCCCGTCACAGACTCCAAGCTAGAGTAAAAAAATAAAACTTTTGTCTAGAGCTTTGAACAGAGCCAAACTCGAGTATGTTCAGCGAAGGAATAAGACCAGAGTAAGTATTAGGGCAATTTTCAACTAGGAGTGAGCTCTGATCATCCAGAGGAATAAAAAGGAAACAAAGTTAAGATGGTTTATTCAGAATAACCAAAACATTTATAACTTTATTACCTCAGAGGGCAGAATACCTCTAAACAAAGAAAAAGACCTGTGCAGTCACAGATGATCGTGCTGCTTTTCCTCCTCTCTCATGCATTTGCAAAACACTGGCGCCTTTTCAAATGACAGCCAATAGGGGTCAGAAGATTAACTAGAAGTTATGCTGTTCTCTTTTAATCAACAGGTTTACTATAAATGACTGTAAGAATTAGGAGTTGGAACTTTGCTCAATATTGAAGGGACAGCCCTCATTTCACCAAACTAAAAAAATAAACATTTTTACATCATATCCAGAAGTGTTTGATGAAATGTCTGACTTAATTCTGATCTAATCAAAGCATGTGGTAGTTGGAAGCTGCGGCAGCATAGAGCGGAACCCACCTGTTTATTTCTCTCATTTGATTGATAAAGTAATTATTAAAGAATGTTGATGTTTTTAACTCCAGAATAAATGTTTTTATATTTTTACTTCTCTAAAATCTCCATAGTGGGTTTTAAAGCTACCGCAATAACAGGCGGATTTATTTTTGCTTTTTTTAGGGGGTTTTTAACACATGGAAAACGTATAACAAGTAAAATGCAACATTAAAAACTGCTATGAAAAGATTCATAAGGAATTAATGACTGAAATGGCAAGCAATGCTCACCAGGCTGTGTCTTCCATGAAGATGCCCTCCCTTTCCAGCTGCATGAAGAGCTCTCCTCCTGCACAGGAAGAAAATAAATTGATTGATCCAATACATGCAACTTTCTTCTCATGTTGCTCCAAATATCCAAGTAGGATGTTTCTAAGGCAACGGAAACAGAACACAACCTATGATGAGCCGCGTAAGCATCTTCAGCTAGGAATATCATTATTTATTTACATTGCAATAATCTGCCAATTTAAAGTCGCCGTGTAAGGCATAGCTCCTAGTTCCCCTGCCTTATGTTTTTATTCATCATAAACTAAAAGTGACCATAAAATTGAGATAATAGTAATGTGTTATGGTAGAGATAATAAACCTAGAAGCAAAAACACAAACAGCAGGGGTGATGTGTGTTTTATTGATCGTTACGGACCACTCAGGTACTCCAGGATGAGGTAGAGCTTCCCTCCTGTCTGGAAGGCGTAGATGAGATCTACGATGAAGGGATGCTTCACTTCCTCCAGAATGTTCCTCTCTGCCTTGGTATGAGCTGTGTCCTTAGCGTTACGTACAATCATAGCCTGATGGTCAGAGGCACAGGAAATATAAAAATCAATAAAAACATGCAGATTAAATTACCACAGCCCTATAAATTACAGAATCTATTATACACCGTGTAACATAATATTGGTTAGGGAAAAACCAATATTATCCCTATAGGGAGAGAAAATAAAGATCAACGTCGCAAACTGCTAGTTAACTTCCTAGAGAAAAGCCGGCAAGTTTATTTCATTCAGCTCTTATTATTAAACTAAACCTATAAATAAGTTTTACCCAGATCAAAATGTTACAGAAGGCTTTATTAATGTTTGGGCAATTTTTATTTATTTTTTTGTTTTTTTTTGGGGGGGGGGGGGGGGGGGGGGGGGGGGGTAGGTTTACAGCACTAGTGGCTCATGTGGCAAAGGACCACAGGTCGGATTCGAACCTAGTTCCACCGGACTAAACCCTCTGTGTGATTTACTTGAATGAGCACAACTCAAGAGTTATTTTCCTCTTGTTGTCTTTTTCCTTTTTTTGTAGTAGTACATCTATTCACATGCAAAGGGTATTTTCTTTAAAACAATAAAACAAGTTGATGATTTATAAAAACATGTTTACCATATGCAGAATTATCCCAATCTATCACATATGCACCCGTTTCCACAATGCCTTTATCCATCTCAGCACTAAAAACCTAACAAAGCAATTTAAAACTCAACCTGTAGCCTTTCTGTCATTACTCTGAGCATTTACATCAACTTTAGACATTAACATTAGCTGTAGCATCAAAACAAATTCCTTGTATGTTAACGAATAATTGTAGGGATGCACGATATAATCGGCCCCCTATCGGTATCGGCCTGTATCGGCCTTAAAACTGAATATCGGACATCGGCCACCCCACCGATATTTAACCCGATATTTGATCAGCTTCTGAGTTTTTAAAGTCTAAAAAAAATAAAAATAAATACTACTTCTTCTTCTACCTCAAAAACTTCTTTTTTACAGACTTAAAAACTTCTAAAGATGAGGGAAAAAATATTGATACATTAAAATATCACAATATCTTCATATGCTGATATATTGCCATTTAAAAACACCATATCAATCTCTTTTACTAATGAAATATTGCTATATGTCATCGTTATGCTACGAAATCCCCCGAAAATTCACGAAATTTTACCATATTTTTATATGTTGATATATTGAGGCGGTATTGATCTATTTTACTAACAAAATCTCACAAGAATTTGCAAAATATCACGAGAGTTTGTAACAGAACGATGAAATTTCACGAGATTTTGAAAGTAAAATAGATCGATACCGCGTTTTTAAAAATCAATTTGATATCAGCATATGAAAATATATTTGAGTATATTATTTTTCAAAGTGTCAGAAATGGATAACAAAACTGCTATTTTCAATGACTACTTATTTTTGTCCAGCTTTAACATCAGTATCGATATTGGTTATCGGCTACATGTGTTTTAAAATATAGGCATATCAGATATCGGCCAAAATCCCAATATCGTGCATCCCTAAATAATTGTCATTAAAAGCCTTTTCTGATACTGAATGGCTCCGTCTTTACTGGTCTATAGCCAATCCAGAGTCCTGGATTATTATTGGTAGAGTCTCTCCTCCCTGCACTTTCCTTACTTCTGTTTACTAAACACATTCTGTCTGACAGCTAAAGAGATGCCTGCCAACAACACTGTTGTCTCAGCACTGAGCGTTCAGAGTTGTAATGGCAAGCAAATCAGGATTGATGTCCTATTAGATATCTTTTTTTCTTAAATTCACAAAATAAACATAGAGCAGTTTTTTTTCTGTTTAGTTTTTTTTTTTTTACCACAAAGCTACATTTTAAGTGACACCTAACTGTTAATAAAAGCTATAAAACTGTTAGAGATGCTTCACTTCTACCACAAATTGAGCATCTGTGACTAAAAATCTTTGGGCAAGTCGAGAAACTGAAAACCTGAGACGCTCCAGGCCTCCATCTGATCTACACTGATCATTTTTGTAGTTAAAAAAAAAACACGTTAGTGTAACGTGGCACCTGTATAATGTGTCACCAGAGTGGTGCAAGGCGATCAGGCCTGAAGCAACCGCTAACATGAAGCTGAACCTAATGGGCTGGAGCAGATTGTTTAAAGAGCCGAGGCTGCAGCAGCAGCTAGCTGTCAGCAGTGAAATCTTACCCCTCCATAGACTCCAGCAGCAGCCCATATCTCCAGACAGAAGCAACAACATGTTAATTTGTAAATTGTGGAGCATGCTCACACAACTTTTGCTAAAATATGACTTAGACTCAAAGGAAAACAATAGATACCTTTTTTAAAACTTTCATGGCAAAGATTTTGCCTGCTGCAGCTCCAACAACTTTTCGAACTTGGAAAACCTGCAGAACGAGGATAGAAAAACTTGTTTTGAATAATCACAAAGGCAGTTTGGGGGAAAAACATAAGTCAGCAGAAAGCTATAGAGGCAAAATAGTTCCCCCCCTATGAGCCTTTCAGACAGACAGCATGTTCATGTAACTCATACCTTTCCATAGCCGCCTTTTCCAAGCACCCTCAGCAGCTCGAAGCACTCTGGTCTGATGTTCTCCGTCCCCTGATTGACGTTATCCTCTGAGATCTCAATCTTCTCACAGTCGTCCATATTGCTGCAAGAAGAGACAGAATAAAACTTCCTCCTTTATGGGCCTATTTTTTGATACTAAATATTTAAAATAAGGCAACAGCTCTGAATACTTACAACTCAAATCCACTGCACTGATCCATGATATCACTGTTCTGAGCCTGGTAGGAGGAGCAGAAAGCTGATCACAAAAGCAAGCATTAAATACTTATTTTAGAAAAAAATAAAACAATAGGGACTCTGGTGTGTAATATTGTTATGCATTAACACCTCTATCCTGATGTTTAGTGGGTTTTTTTTCATATAGCCTCACTATAAAGCAGTTATTTTGAGTGTTCATAATAAGTTAAAAACAAACATGTACAAAACCTTTGTGTTTTCATATTGATCAACATGTTGATGTTGAATAAATTTTTTAATATCATGTACGGTTTCGCTGTACAGCTACTTTGTTCGGGGCATCAAATTAGCCAAATTTCCAACTGAAATCTTTGAAAATGACCCCACTTTTTTTTTTTTTTACAAAGTTACCATAGAAACATCATTATAATCACTCCTCAAAGTCGGCTGATTTTCATGGTTACGCTTTAGATATCATTTATGGTTTGACCGTGCCGCTATGTCATTCAGGGGCCTCACACCAAAATCTTTCAAAATTCTGCTTTTTTTTTTTTGCATCGTCACCATGGCCACATCCTCTTTTGAGGAGACATGAAACTTGGCCCAGTTGTTCATCAACAACTGTTGATTCTTGTGATCTAAAAATGTTTCTGTATCTTTTACACTTTTTGTTGTATTAATCCTAGTTCAACACAGCATTTTACACATCCTTTACATTTTGCTCTTTTCTTTTACAAAGGTCTTTCAACTTCCAGGTAAAAAGATACTTTTGGACTTTTTTCTTCTGGTTAATCAATTTCACAAAATTTTCTGCTTTTAAGATGAGTGTGTTTCAGCCAAGTGATTCAACCCTACAAACTCTTCAGATGATTTTTAAATGTTTTCTGTAGTTTGAAGTTTCTGATGACTTCCTTCCTATCATATTTTCATATGTTGTTTAGCTAATTTCTGCTTTTTTCCCCCTTTAATCAGTTTCTTTGGCTAACTTTTCTATTTTTATCCAGCATAAAAAAGCATTCCCACTTTGCTGTTTCTCCAAAACAGCTTTTTCTAGTTTTTGATTACTTTCCCCACACAGAATTCCCAAAACAGGACCAGCCAAGATGTAAACAAACACTTGGTGCGAAATTTCAGCCTCATTTTCGTCCACTGAAAACTGAATATGTAATTATATTTGGTTAAGCAGCATTTTATAAATACAAATCACACTTTTTGGGTTATGGTGGGAGTGAAAATAGCCAGACAGTTTAATTAGACATTAATTCAATGTGCAATGGCTGCTCTCTGTGTAAAAAGAAGCAGACGGGCAGCCCTTCCTCGGCCCACAGAGCCCCACTCTGTCACATTTTGCCAAAATAAACTGTTGCGTACGGAGCTGCATTTATCACTGCTGCACCTTTGGCCAAGTAAGGGTGATTTGCACAACCCCTGCATGACAGCCAACCAGACAGCCTCTGCAAGGCATAAAACCCGCTTCTAAAGCGGCTTGAAAGAGTGTGAAAAATAACAGGCGCTTATAGTACTTGCTTATAGTAAGGAAGAGTATGCCAGGCCCTGACAGCTCCGGCTGCTGCAGCCTGCAGGCCTACAGCGGCGGCTGCTGCTGGCAGACCACCAGGCTAACGCAGCTAGCTAGCTACGGCGCGGCGGACAGTTTTTGTTCTGACAGCCGCTATTAAAGTACCTCATCGTTCTCATCGTCGGAGACATTTTCCTCCGGCTGGTCCAGGTCAATGTCAAACACTCCAGCCATCGCAGCGAGTCGTTAGGGTCGCTCTATCACAGACCGCGGATACAGCAGGCGTCCCCCACCTCATGGACAGGCACGCACCGCCGCCATAACCGGCTACTACACCGCGCATGCGCATTGCGACCCTCTACGGAGGGGGCGGAGCCTGTTGTCTGATAAACAGGGAATCAACCTGACTGTAAGGCAATAATATTTTACCTATTCATAAAAAAAAAATAAAAAAAAAGCAATCGAGCTACCATTGTTAAAATAAGCAATTCAATTTAACTGCTCTTTGTTTTTTGGTAAATTTGTGTTTGTTGTTTTATTTAGTTCAAAATCATATCTTTCAATATAAAACAGCCATAATTTACTTCATGTTTAGTTTAGTTTAATTTATCATAACGGGAATAACCCCACGTTGCTTTTTCATACAATAAGATGTCTGTACGTGGTTTACCTGTTTCAAACAGGAGACACTTTCTGCAAGAAGAGGAGGCATCTACAATATAATTATAGATAATTATAACGCTTCACTATCACAATAATGTAGACACGAGATTGCTTTTCTTCTAGTTATAGTATTTGTCCTTGTTTAAAAAAACAAAACAACAAGAATGTTCTTAAATGCAGCTACAATCTGGTAGGATTGTATAAAAACCTACAAAGACAAGGTAAATGTTTCATTAAAAACGAATACAAATATATTAATGGAAAAACTATATTACTAATTTATGAAATTAAAAAAGGCTTTAATCATAAGATAGGGAAGGACATATGAGGAAAAACCTATTGCCTTTCCATACAGAGAACACTTCCCAAAAGATAAAGGCAACGAAAGAAACGTAAAACAACCACAAATGTGTAAATGCATACTAGAAACATTTTCGAGTATATGAAAGAAATATATATATATGTAAAAAAAAAAAATCTATAATCTTTTTGCTGCTGTAAACACCAGAATTTCCCCATTGTGATTTCTATTCTATTCTATTCTATTCTATTCTATTCTATTCTATTCTATTCTATTCTATTATCTTCTAAACATGAAGGTATCACAATAAAGACTTCGATAATATCAATTTCTTTTAAAGTGTCTTTAGACAATGCTAACTTTGACCACAGAGGTTGAAAATATGGATAGATATCTTGGTAATAGCTGAAGAACATCGGGAAATAAATGTGCCAAACTGGAATTTTATTCTGAAATATTCGACAGTCGCAACCGGAAATGACGTTTTGACTTTTAGCGCCGCTTCCAAAACAGCGACAGTGCGCTGACCTGGAGCCTGAGCCAGATGGCCTAATGACCTGAGGCCCCCCTCCGTGGTTAAAGATGTCGGTGGTAACGGTCCAGCTCGGTCAGTGTGGTAACCAGGTGGGACAGCAGCTGTGTGACGTCATGTGGAGCGATGCTCAGCACGCGGAGGGAAAAACATACAGCTCGGTCAGCTGTGAGCGCTTCTTCCGGCGGACCTCACAGGGAGGTAAACACGGGGCCCTTTAACGATCGCTGTCAACTTGGCACATTTTGAATCTGTCCTTGTGTCCCAGACTTTGAGGCCCGGGCGGTGCTGATTGATATGGAGCACAAAGTGATCAAGCACAGCATGAACAAGGCTGAGAAGTGTGGGAGATGGAGGTATGGAGAAACTTCCCACTTCAGCCAGAAACAGGGCTCTGGAAACAACTGGGCCAATGGGTGAGATGTGAACCAAACTCATAAACTGAAGGTATATGTAGTGAAAATGATGCATAGCAACAATAACTCAGAAAAAGAAAACAGTTGGGGTTGTGTTTGTTCCCGCCCCTGAATTACATAAAGACCATAAAATTAGTTTTCCTAACTACTTCCTAACTACTTGCTGTGTGCTTACGGTCATTGTCCTGCTGGAAGATTAAACTCTACCTATAGAGCTTCTAATAGCCTTTCTTCCACTATTCCTCTGTAATTAGCTAAATTTCCTCAACTGTCCCACCAGAGATACTATAACACCAGGCATGTTGTATCAATATTTGTTTTTGGTTGGATATTGGTTTCAACTTTAGAAAATCAAAAGTCAACATTGAAATGTCAAAAGCTAATGTCATTTAAACGTATCCATCCATCCATCCATCCATCCATCCATCCATCCATCCATCCTCCCTCCCTCCATCCATCCATTGTGGAAAACGACTCGTGAAGTTGGACCAGCTAGAATAGCAAGGTGCGCAAGAACACTGCGACCCTTTTCCCACCTGGATCCCCACTATATTTAGCCCTCATGTCCCTCCGCTGTCAGACAAACCTGCCCCCACTTCCACACCGCCTCGGCCCTATCTAGACCCATAGGTAGTTCCTGATTTTCCCCTTTTGCGTTGTGGTGTGGAATAAACAGTGCAGACCACGCTTCAGTATTGAGCATAAATAAAAAATGTTTGCTTCACACCTGCGACAAGCTCAGTGCGGCACACTGCTGCAGGAGCATAACCAGCCCTTTATCCGGATCAAAGGGGTAGCAGCTTCAGCAGGGAGGCCAACAAGTCCCACTCAACAGCCACTTGGGTGATCTCCTCTAGGGAAAGACCAAGGCGCTCTCAGGCCAGCTGAGAAACATAGCCCCTCCAGCGTTTCCTGGGTCTCCTCCCGGTGGGACGTGCCTGGAACACCTCACCAGGGAGGCATCCATCAGGCATCCTAACCAGACACCCGAGCCACCTCTGCTGGCTCCTCTTGATGTGGAGGAGCAGCAGCTCTAATCTAAGTCCTCCCTGTATGACTGAGCTCTTCCCCTTGAGAGAGAACCCAGACACACAATGGAGAAAACTAATATCGGCCGCTTGTATCTGGAGTCCTGTTCTTTCGTTCATTAGCCAAAGCTCATGACTATTTATGAGAGTAGGAACGTAGATCGACCGGTGAATCGAGATATTTGCCTTATGACTTAACTCTTTCTTCACCAAACTTTAAGTTTTCAACATCAATCTGACGCTGTCATTTCATTGGTTTCAAATTGTGTTGGCTGGTAGCAATATCCAACGTTTGCTCAACGGTGATTGCTAATCTTCAATTGATAAAGGATTTAACATAAACGTAGTCTGACACATTTGACCAAAAGTTTAGTTTTAAAAGACAGATAAAAGGTATATGATAGCAGATTTTATTTAAGGGTATCAGAGTAAAGATGTCTTAGTGCCAATGCCTAAAGCCTTTTCAGATCATTAGTAAATGCTCATCTATCCAGGTATTGCGTCCATGGCCCTCGTCACAGAGACGCGTTGGAGGAGCTGGTGAGGAGGGAGGTGGAGCACTGTGACATGTTGGCAGGATTCCTCCCTGTGATGAGTGTTGCTGGAGGAACGGGGTCAGGAGTCGGTACTTTCGTCACTCAGTGTCTCCGAGACGCGTACCCTTCATCGTTTGTCCTCAACCACCTCACCTGGCCATATGGGACTGGGGAAGTATGTCCAGATTTCCTGTTTTCACCAAATAGGCTCTCCTGAGTTTAACTGTTCGCTATTGGATAAAATGAAAACAAAGTTGGTTAATAAAAGGTCAGCGTAACCGTTCTTTTTATTTAGAAAACAAACCTGCTAAGCCAGCGTAGGTCTTTGCAATGTGTCTATTATTCTGTACCGATCGGTCTTCACAAAATCTAAAACATTGTTAAATGTCAGCTCAAAACAATGAAGATTTCAAAGTTTGCAAAACATAATGATGATAACATTTCAGAACAGAATAGAATAATCTTTTATTGACGCCCCATTGGGGAAACTCCAGTGTATATCAGAACAATGTTCTAATACAGTTAGAGAAACAAACAGATGAACTTTGTTAATAATAAAAAAAACGACTAGAAAAAAAAAATGGAACAAGAAAATAAGTAGGAACTAGGAAGGGTAACATGTCCATCTATGTGATCATTTCTCTACTTTTCAGGTGATCGTCCAGAACTATAACTCTGTGCTGACGCTGGCTCACCTCTACCAGCTATCCGATGCGATCCTGGTGCACGAGAATGACACAGTGCACAGGATCTGCAGCCAGCTGCTGAAAATCAAGCAGATCTCTTTCAATGACATCAACAGGGTCATTGCTCACCAGCTGGGTGGGGTCCTGCAGCCCACACTGACCCCCGACTCCTGTGGAACTTACAGCAGGCATCCTGTTGGTAAGAGCAGAACGCTAGGAGGTTTCTACCCAGTCTGAAAGGGTTTAGGATTAGATTTCACTTTATTGGTATGAAAGGAATGGAAACAGGAGCCTTTATGTTGTGAATTTATAGTGAACTGTAGTGTTTAATATTCAAAAGTGAATTTAATGCACTGAAGTTTCTAAAAAAGTTGAGTTTGTAAAGGAGAATTTTTCATGACGTTTAAGAACCCTGCCTACTTTCCACATTTATTGTTCTACAAAATGAAAAAAAAATTATTTGATTTGAGTTTAGTTTGATTTTTATTCAGAAGCATGAAAAAAACAAATTCACATTTTTGGCTGAAAGGCTTAGGTTGAAACAAAAGCTTAAGGATGCCTGACTTCTTACCACAAAACTAATATACACTTCAATAAATAGGAAATAATTTAGTAATAATAGAAGACATATTTACGGAAGAGGATTAGGGCTACTGAAAAAAAAAAAAAAGGTTAACTGATTTTAAAATTTTATTTACCGTAAGTTTAACATGGGAAAAAAGTAAAAATTCAGACTTTTTTTCAGAATTCTGATTTAAATCTCAGAATTCTGACTTTTTTCTCAGAATTCTGACTTTTTTTCTCAGAATTCTGACTTTTTTCTCAGTACATAATTAACTTACAATGACACTATTCAAAATATGATATGCACAGAATTTTTTAAACTAAGACAGGATGTACATGACTTTAACTATGGCAGAAATACATTACTTTTTGACTTTTTGTAAGATGAATTTAGATTTATCTCTAAAGTTATATTTACTTTCTGGAATAGAAAACAACTTCTGGATACAATCTGCTAGTGATTTTATGGTTATTTACGATTATTATTATTATTATTATAAATGGCTCTTTTTTTGTAGCACCACAACCTTTTCTGTCATTGCAAGTTTTTCCCCATAATTCCACATATGTTGAATAACAGTGTATCAAAGAGTAATAGATTAAAAGCAAACCTTTGAAATGAAGCA